GCTCACGCTCCCGTGCCTCCTGCGCACTCTTTAGTTCCAGGCGGTGTTGGTTCATGGGGAACCGCATGGCCTATTGGCAGAATAGTTAGCTAAGAAACTCTATGTAAAGACAAAAGATATGTTCTCGTAGAAACTCACCTTGACGCTTTCGTCGTGGAGACTCAAGCAAGCTCTGATGCGCTCATGGAACACCTCTCCGGGTTCCCTGGTCGCATAGATGTCTCCCACTTCCTTGCTCTTCATGAATCCGTGCTCATGGTCCAAGCTGGCCTCGATCACACCGTCGCGGATAGCCTTGGCCACAATGTACTCGGCAGACTCCTCGCTGTCCAGTCCGAGACGCAGGCAAATATCCCGGAGCGAAATGCGAGAGTAGGAGAGAGACATCATGCGAATACCGGTCTTGATAACGTTCTGGCGCAGACGCAGGATAAGAGTGTACGTACCGTCCTTGCGGAACGTCGCACTGTGGGTGTTGACGATATTGAGGAACCCATCCAGGTCACCCACACTGACAGCTTGAACAAGGAGGAAGTAGGGGTGCATGGCGCGCTCAAGAGCGGGCTGTCGGAAAATGGCCCGGTCGGGAATGTCACCCATGAGGAGCTCCACCACGACGAGCAGTTTATGAGAAGCCTGGTAGAAACCGCGCGCACTGTGACTGGAAGGCGACTTGCGAGTGGCACCGATCAAGTGCCCATGGGCATCGGTGTACTGCAACTGAATGGCCCGGATGCGACCCAGGTAGTAGAGGTACCGGGCGATCTGGTTGTTGGACGCCGATGGGGGGAATTTGTTGTGCGAAATGAGAAGGTCTGCCTGTGAGATGTGAGACGTAGATAGGTAGTTGCGCAGCAGTAGCGTCATCACGGTAGCTTGGGTGTCTACATCCTTGCGAAGCACTGCCGTCCGCAGGGCTGCGAGCAAGGGCTGGCGGATCTTAGTCACGGTGGCAGCAGGAGATGGGGGAAGGGGGGCGATCTGCTCATAGAAGAGAGAGTAGTAGAAGTAGACACGAGCTGCCAGTGAGTCAAGGGTACGGCGGTTAAGCGTCCGCAGACGCTCAATCAGGTTCGTCGAGAACTTGGCACCCAGCTGAATCTCCTTCTTGTCATACAAGAAGATCTGGACGAGGATAGACATGTAGATATCAACCTCGGGCAGTGTCTCCTTGGGAGCAGACTTGGTCTTCTCCGACTCAATCTCCATCTTCGCGCTGGACCGAGCACCGCCCAGGGCACCTGCTTGATCAAGAGCATTCAACAAGAATGAAGCGGTGACACTTGACGATGAGTAAGTCTCCTCGATAACTTCTGCTAGCACATCACCCGTGATGTGTTTGCGCATGGACGATATCGAGCGCAGGACGCGGAGGGTGAATCTGGGGTCGAAGTGGGTAACGGCTCGTTCGAGGAGGGTAAAGTTGGTCTTGATGTCTACATGAAACGCATGGCAGCATTAGTACAAGGCGCTGGGTGGATAAACGCCAGAACAGATGGAACCAACCTTGGATGGCCTTGGTCTTGGGATCAACCTCGGGCTCGGCATCCTCGCCCTCAGCACCCTCCATGGCGACGTCGCCTTCTTTATCCGTTCCTTTCTCGCCGGATAACCTGGAACCCTTGGTAGGGGGCACTACAACAGTCATCTTCTCGTCACCCTTGCGGTCTTGACTGGCGTTGAATGAGGATGTAGGCCCACCTGCCGTATCCTCTCCCATCTCAACATCTTCCGAGCCATTCACGCCATTCTCCGTCGGGTCGGACCCGTTGGCACGCGGCTGATCACGCTGCTCACCCATTCCGGAGTTGGCAGTATTATTCGACGAGGCGCCTTTCGTGGTAGAGGCAGCTTTGGCCTTGTTGGCAGCAGCGCGGGTAGGCGCCGGCTTATCTTTGTTGGAACTAGAGCTCTGCGAAGTGGAGCGTCCCTTCTCACCGTTAGCAGATGAAGAGGTATCTGACTTGCTGTTCGATCTCAGAGAGCGCCTTTCAGCCGGCATCTTTCGTTGGAGGTTCTTGTCTGTTTCTTTTTCCAGCTATGAAGCTCAGGTGAGCACTGGGGACCGCGGTACCGGAGACACAGGAAGGGGGTTTTGGATGAAAGACCACTATCCAGAGTCCGGGGATGCAGGAATGAAAAGGACAAGAGTCACAGCGAGCGAAGCCAAAAGGATCAAGATGCGGGGCGGGGGATGATGAAGGATGGGGGATTGGGTTGAGGTTTGGGAGCAGATGGTTGATGAGGTGGTGATGTGATGTCAAGGCTGGCTCTGGATGGACAGCGAGAGAACCAGCACAGGGAGCTTAGTCAGTGTCGGGCCAGTTGGGGGTTCGAGCTTACCAACGGAGCAATCGGTCAGCTGTGAGACCGGCGTGACGCGCTGTCGGGTTTCTGTCACGTCTGGAAAGAGGAGCAAGAGAAATTGGTTGGTGGTTCGGAAAAGAGACAATGGCAGTGTGGGAAGGGGTTTAATCCGATTGCTGGTAAAGAAGAAGAAGGTCCGAATTGCTGGAGAATTTCGGTCGCAGGCAGTTAGTTGTTCGGGGTTGCGTTGCCACCAAATCCTCATTCCCGGCCAGTTTCAGACCGCCTGAGGCAGAAACAGCTGGGAAGCTCTGCTTGGCGTGTTTACCCGTGTTGCTTTGACCAGTCAATGTATTTACTAGTTGCTTGCTAGTCTAGTCATTGATTGTTGTTTCTATTCCCCCCCTCCGCAGCGATAACAAACTCACTCACTGAAGCACAAGATCACCATTCCCCACACCCTGCGACACGGAAAAGAGAAAAGAAAAATGTCGCTCCTTGAAAGTCATCTAGAGCAGATCGCATTGTCTTCTAATGCCATTGCGGAGCTACCGTATGCATCCCCCTCTCACCTTGCTTCGTACCCGGCATTGATTGCTTCTGCCCCAGGTTTCCCCAACCGCGGATCTTCACCAACGCGCTGCTAGGCCCCCACGATATCACCTCCTTGATTCGAGATACGGAAGCTCATGAACGGGCTCTCTTTCAATCCGATCCCTCCGTCAAATCCGTCGGCTCCCAGCGACGTCCTACCCGACGTGGCACGCAGTTTGCGCAGGATTCGGAGGGCGAGTCCATGGCAAGCCGGATTTATTCCGCTAGAGATAACAAGAGTCAATCAGCTGTCGCAAGGGTCTTGGGGGCCGATATGATGGAGGAGATCAAGCGATCCGCTGGCACATCCAGTAGGGGTCGTGGTGAAGTCAATGTCGACGTTTTACTCCAGGGCGCAGAGATTCTCTGCAATGTCTAGTACGCTCATCCTTCCTCCTCAAGTGCCATGTCATGCTTACGGTTACTGACTACCTGCAAAGTCCTGTCGCTGGTGCACATGAGAAAATTGCCAGTCTACGTTATCGTCACGAGCTGATCACGGGTTCCATCAACGAATTGGAGGCACGTGTGGCCAGAAACACCGCAGAACTGGAAAAGATGAGTCACTCCTACGGAGATGACTTTGATGACTATGATGGCGTCGATTCTACGCCGCCCGAGGTGGCTGATGTCACGGATGCTGACCTTGAGCGAGAGATGGCGGAGATCCGCGAGCTGGAGAGAAAGAAACGCACTTTGGAAGCCCGTGTTCACGGCATGGAACGAGATCTGGGTGGGCTGTTGGGTTGAAAGCTACGGGAAGTTCTATTCTATTCGCCATTTTCAGCGAGACCGTGATGTTGGGCGCTCACAACGTCGCCTCAATATTCAGAAGGCAGGTCGTTTCCATACAGATACAGTGGACACCACTACCACTATGGCTGATCCAGATGGCTATCATTGGTACGACAGGAAGTCTCCCTGAAAACAATGTCTAGCCCGACAAACTATTCAGCTTCGATGGATGCTGTGCGGCTACTCTCCGCCTTGGATATTTGCCAATATCGCTAGATGTTCTGCAGCTTCTGGTGCGGCCAAGTCCGGCCACGGAGACTCATCAGGACTGCATGCTTGCGCTTATATCATCATCGTTGACTTTTAGCGAGGATGTACCGCGATCTGAACTGCCAGGACTAGCTATTCCTTGCTATTCCTTGGGGCGCATTATCTCAACGCGTCTCATACAGGCATAACGCGGTTAATCTGAGCAATGGATTTGGTACATTGCACATCAAAGATGTCGATCAGTTTGTGTATAGGCATGACCAATCCGCACCGATTGAGTGTCTCGGAGTCCTCCAAGGAGAATTACCATATCACCTAGAGGTTTAATCATTATAGGAGATATTCGGTCTTGTCCTACTTTCTTGAATCAAAAAGATTCATTATTTAAGTGGGCTGTTGTAACCATCGCCTAGCCCTGGCTTCATCTCCTGTAGAATCGGCATTACCCCCTGGGGCTTTATTCACTCTCCCTCTTACTCAATAAGCCTTACTTTAGTTACGCAACAGCGTATATAAAAGCGTCCCCTCATCGCACCGTCAGAGCTTCACCCCATCCGGGAGAGGAGACCGAACCATTAGATAAGTGTTGCTTCAGACGTTTCTCATTCAATACGTCACTGTATGAGAGTGTCCAATAAAGCCGAAGTGATCAGTAAAACAAACGTTGTTCAATTCCGCAGAACCTGTTTGTTGAGTAAGTGTTATAAAGGGACTTGGGGTGTTACTGGCTCTCCTCACTTCATTCATTCGGCTGCGAGTACTCGTTGCCAAGCCTCAAGGCTCGCCGACCCCCAATTGCCATCTCCAAATCTCTCACTTCTTTCCCCCCCGATCAACCCTCCGCTCCGCTCCTCCATTCCTCTCAGACGAGATATAGCTGCGAGTTGTGAAAGCCTTCGCTCTCAGGCATAGTCTCATCTAATCTCATTTCGTTCCGATCCCCTTTTACCTTCTTTAACGCCTGTCGGGGCGCTCGGGACACGTGCCTGAGAAACCCGTTCTCCGCTATCCCCAACAGTGTTATCCAACCTCTTCCCCCCATCGCTGTCTTCACTTTCCCCCCACAACGCAGCCCAATCACCATCATTGTCAGGATGGACAACTCACAGGCACAGCCCCAGGCTGCTCAACCCCAGGCCCCTGCAGCCCAGCCGATGATGCCGCAGCACTCCAACCTGATCCGAACCGATCAAGTCCAGAAACTCCCCCATCTCAACGACCAGCAGAAAGCCCAGCACACCCAGCTCGTGCGGACCTTATGGGAACATCTCAATAGTCGGGAACCGCAGACTACCGAGTATCAACAGGCTCATGCGAGACTGACCCAGATCTCTCAAAATCTCATGAAAGGCATGCGCGCCTTCCAGCAGAGCCGCCAAATGCAACACCAGCAATTGCAAGCGGCAAACGCTGCGCAACCAGGTCAACCAGTCCAGCGGTCGCAGTCGGTCAATCCGCAGAGTTTCGCGCAGCTTCTCCCGCAGATCCAACAGAAAGTCAACACCCTGCAGTTCTTCCTCCCTCCGAACATCAGCAACGAGCAGGCCCAGACCTGGCTCCCCGAAGCCAAACTACGATATGGCATCGCGCTTCAGAAGCAGGAGATCGGACGGGCGCGGATCGCGGATCTCAGACAACAGTTTGCGACGCGTCAGTCTGCGGGAAATATGACCCAGGAGGAGGTGCAGGAGTTCAAGAACCGGCAACTTGCGGCGGAGAAGCTTTACCGCGAGGGAAGCGACTTCCTGAACAAATTCAAGGAACAGCAGGATACCTTTAAGGCCCAGCAACAGCGAGCAGGTGTCCAACAACATGTTCCTGCTCAAGCGCATCCTCAACAAGCTCCAAGTCAAGCTGCGCCCGGTACAGCTGCTGGCCCCGCCGACGGCCGTCCACCAAGTGTCCCCGTCACCATGCATCCAGGCCAGACCCCTACCCCGGCTCCTCACACCATAACTTCGGCAGTCTCCGCTGCCCGCAACCAGGCGGGACAGACTGCGATGTCGCCTTCAACTTCTCAGCCTGGTCAGACGCCAACCACACAGGGCGCCACGCCTGCCGTCTCTGCTGTGCCCCAGCAGCAGCAGCAGCAGCCGCCGCCGCCACAGCAAGCACCTCAGCAACAGCCGCAGGCCCAGGTCCAGGTCCAGGCACAGTCACAGCAGGGCCCACCCGGTTCACAGGTCACCTTCACTCAAGTCCCCAACGTGGACGGTTCAACTCCAACTCCTCCTGGGGCTCAGACCATGGTCCAACCTCGTCCTTTGTCTCAGCAGGCTGCCATGGCTCAAGCTGCGCAGAACTACTCTAACAACAACGTTAACAACAATAACAACATGAACCAGCAGCAGAACGTTACCCAGCCTGGGGCCAACACTCACGCTCACCCCCAGGGCTACATCCCCAACCGCTCGGCTGATACTAACGCGCGTAGCATCAACATGGCAATTCCGAAAAACTTGAACGTGCCTCCTCCAGAGCCCGTTAACATGGCTCCTGCTCGACCCACGTTGTCTGGCGGACCCAGTCACGGCGCAGTTGGTGTCATGAATCAGCCTGCAATCCAGAAACACCCTGGCTACGTGCTCGAGGGTGAAGGTCAGCGCGTTCTGAGCAAGAAGATGCTGGATATTCTTGTTCGTCAGGTCACTGGTGGTGGTGAAGGTGAAGGACTCACTCCTGATGCTGAAGAGGTAAGTCGCGTTATCTCCCGTGGTTCTTCTCAGAGATCAATAAAAGTCTAATTGCCCTTGTGTGCAGTTCATCCTTCAAATGGCAGATGACTTTGTTGACGATGTGATCACTGATGCCTGCCGTCTCGCCAAATTGCGCCCGTCCTCGACTCTCGAGATCCGCGATATTCAGCTTGTCTTGGAGCGCAAGTACAATATGCGTATCTCTGGATTCTCCACTGACGACCTGCGCACTGTCAAGAAGCCTCAGCCCACTCAAGGATGGACTCAGAAGATGTCCGCTATCCAGGCTGCTAAGGTTACCCAAGGCAAGGCCGAGTAATAACGCGACTTCGCTATTTTCCGTTACGACTTTCACGCGCGCGCTTTACTTTCGGTGCTCACTATGAGCTTTGATTCATCTCCCACATGGACGAGAAACTCACAGAAGATGGGTGTGCATGAATGCACTGACTTTACCTATCTATTCCCCTCCACAACTTTCAAATTCACAGCACCAAAACATAATAAAACAAAAGTGTCTCTAACAGCAACTACCAGAAATGATTGAATCACTGGATTGAGGTGGCGTTCACGGGAGGCGGCAGGCGGTCTTTTTTATTCTCTTTCTTTTTTTCCCCCATTCTCCTACTTTATACTTGTGTTTTACTTCTCTCCCCCCAGCCCATTCTCACTCACATCCTAACGACTCGTCTGTGAATGACATCGGGACGGATGAACTTTTCATGCATCTTGCTATGGCGTCATCTGTGTTCTTTCTATTTACCCTCTGGTCGATCTTCGCGAATTCACGTTGCCTTTTTCTTGTTCCTATGGCGTACTTCCTTTTTCCTCTTCTCTTCTTTAATGCTCCCTTTCGCTTCTCCCTTTCTTTCTTTCTGTCTTCTCTAACTCGTGATGAACCTTCTTCTATTTTCTTTTTTTTCTTCCCTATTGAGGTGTTTTCCTGCTTACTGCTTGCTTACATCTTGACTTTGATGCTTTTTCCCTGCTCGGTTTATGCTGGTTGTTCAATTTGAACATGGAAATACCCACTTGGGCAAAGTAGTGTCGGTGCGAAATGAATTATGATTTGGATCTGTGGGCTGAAATATAATCTCCTTCCTTGGAATATGGTGGCTGTGGTAGTAGTAGTAGTAGTAGTAGTAGTAGTAGTAGTAGTAGTAGTAAATTTCTATAGATGTCCTTTATCCCCCTGAATATCTGAGTAGTCGGTAATTGCTGCTACTACATATGAACTTTGTATCTACGTACGATCTACAGTGTTAAGACTCTAGAGTATCAGGATATTCATTGAACAGAAAAAGGCGATGATGGTATCAATTCTCTACTTGCTGTGCGTCTTCTAACAATCTTCTAAAGGAAAGACGAGCTCAATGAGATAAGAGGAATGCGTTTGAATAGAGAGAAAAAGCAGAACATCAGTGGGAAAACACCAACAGAATTAAGTCGCTCGAACCTGCTCACGCGCACAAGTCGCTTCTCCCATCCATGTAAACAATCAAACAGAGGCCCAATGATGCCAAACAACCAGACAATGTATGCTAAGCCAAAAGATGTTGAAAGGGCAAGGAAAAAAATATAGTCAGTCAAAGAGTGAGGCTGGATAAGAAATCCAGATGTAGTAGGTGAGTGTTCAGCAGTATGAAGTTTGCACAAAGGGAACAAAAAAAAAAGGAGAAAACGGTAGAAATATTTGATACAGAAAAGTTGTGGTCATGTCAAAGCAAGTGGGTTGGTCGATACCAATTGATTCTTCATGACCAAAGCTCAGAATGCACAAGCTACAAAGCTTGACTCAACAGAACGGGCTGTCGAGACATGACACTAGGAAAGAGAGGGTGAAAAAAGACAGACAATAGAAGATAGTGAGAGACAGGTAGTTGATACAAAAAGATGTTAGGAAACATGATCGAATATTGCTTGCCATGCAGTGTTGGTAGAAATGAAAGTAGAGCCCCGGAATGATACCATTTGATCAAAGGATTGATCCGTATCAAGCAGGAGCCATTGGATGTCAGGGTTGATCCTGACAGACGGGCAGCGCCCGATGATGCACAAGAAATCACATCAATCGTGGTAACATGAGACTATCACAGAGATGCTTGCGGGACAAAGGTGGAAGATGAGAGGAAGATGCGTGGCGGGCAGCAGTAGAGGATCCATGGCGCCAGGGTATGAACAAAGCATTATGAGCTGCGAACGAGGATATCATGAAAAACGACTGGAATTTAGCACCGTGACGGTTATTGTCTGCCTGAGACAGAAACCATGCCAGGTTGCTCATTCCGAGACACTGCCTTGCCTTTTCCAGCGAAGGGCATCCCATTTTGTTGAGGAATCGGAGGAAGTTCCTTTTCAGCCGCAGAAGGTGGACCATGGCGACTATGTTGGCTTTGCCCTCCAACGCTACTGGCCTCTCCAGCCTCATCGACGATCGGCAAGAATGAAGGCGCAACAACGCCGTTGGGGTCTGACGAGTCTCGAACAGTCGATAGCGTCCGAGGCTGGGCGTGCGAAACATCCTTGGCAGCCTCCTTCTCAGCTGCTTGCATGGTCCGTTCGACAGACTCGGAACGCTCCACTGAGGGCCTACCCTCTGCTCGGGCTTCCCGATGTCGTTCGGCTTCCTCCTTGGACATTGTGATGCCCTTGATGAAGTTGATGAACCGATCACCATAACCCTCTGGTGGTATAGGCGAAATTTGTGTTCGGTCATGTGAAAGACCCTTGAAAAAGTGTTCGATCTTCTTCACCATTCCGTACTGCACAGCCAGTTAGTTAAAAGACCCAATTGTTCCAATGCAATCAACTTACGTGAGTCAAGCAGTCAATGATTCCAAGATAATAGATCTCCTCGCCAGGTTGACCGTTTTCGTGCGTGGCGCGGAATCCACCATCATCGGCATAGAAGACATGGAATTTCCTTTCATCAAGGATCTCCTCGGGCATCTTAGCGGCCGCTTTGTCAAGCGGCACTGGACGCTCACGCTTGATCAGCATGCGCAGTTCGCGGGCCTTGCGCTCATTCTCCAGTTTGGAAGGCGTGCGCATCAACATATTTGGACTGGCTTCTTCCTCACGGTCACCCCCGGGTTGGAAAACCTGTAGCGTCTTGTCCCGCAGCTTCTCCTCGTTCCCTCGTCCCACGTCGTGGATACCCACTAAAAGAGAGTAGTCCATAATCTTCAACTTCTTCAGCAATTCAACATCACGTTTGAGCTGAGCCAAAAAGAAGTCCCGCTTTGACGGACCACACTGTATCTCGCGATTCCTCCGGACCCAGTTTAGATCCTTCAACGTTGCTCTCGGGTTCTTCTCCAAATCCTCCTCGCGCAGATCACGTCCAATCATTGAACCCTTCAAGTCGAATGTCTGGTGGATATCGCGGTGAGGAGGGAACAGGTTGTTCATGACAACGAAGTGGATTTTGCGACCATAGGCCATCTTGACGCGATGGAGACCGTAGAACTGTGAGATCAAAGTGTTCGGGTTTTGCTCAACATGTCTGTAGTATTCCGGAAGAATCTTCCGCAATAGTTTGTGTTCGGAATGATGAATTGTTTTGATGATGTACTTGTAGTCTCTGGAAAAGTAGAAGAAGCTTCCACTCTTTCCTGGAGAGCCAAGTTCAGAAAGGATGTATTTGCTGGTTAGAGACATAAGGTAGTCGGCTGGATCAAGTCGGAACTTTGCCCGAAGGTGACGGAAAACCCAGGGCGCATAGTCCTTAAATTTGAAATCGTATTTGGCGGAAGGAGTCAATTCGTTTCCGGTTCTGTTCAACATCAACGATCAGTAACGTAATGGCAAATATAGTGAGCAATAACCTAGGCGCATACATGTCAAAAGAAAACTTGTGCTTGGCCTCAAAGTCGGCCGGAGTCAGCTCCCGGTCCATCTTCGCATTGATCCTCGACACCGTGAACCGAATTCCGGTGAGCATGTTGTAAGCAGTAACATAATTCACATGATTCTGGTCGACCCTAGTGCCAACGATAACGTGGTCGTCATCGTCATCATCCCGACGTCTTCTCTTAGAAGCTCGCCTCTGTTTGATTGCTTCCGCCCATCGAGCCGCATCTTCGTCCGGAGGGGCATCGTCGGAAAGCATATCTGACTGGTTGGTGCGGGTGGCGCGCCGGGCCAAGCTGAAAGAAGTACGACGAATTCCGGCTGTGGGAGACAACCGACCGCTGCTGTAGGCAGCATCCTCAGTTTGGTCCCGGCTACTCCGGCGCCCGCTGCTGTTTCGTGGGACTTGCAACGTGTGTCGATGTCGAAGGCCGGTGTTGTTCGGATCTTGCGCATTACCGTCCATGCCAGATGGTACAGGAGGAGAAGAGTACCGATGGGGACTCTTCTGGGAGGGCGAGGAGGGCGACAATCGATCGGGATCCGGCGAGAGACGGCCAGCGTCATCAGGCTGAGAGGTGGACAATCGCGTCGCCGAAGCATTAGCCACTACATCGGGAGCAACCAGATCATCAGCGGACGGTCGAGGGTAGTCTCCATTCACCGTCGGCTTGCCGTTGAGCGATCGAGGGTTCAACGTCCCATTGATCTGCTGACTGGTGACCGATGCCGTCGGAGAGGCTGCACGAACGCTTCTTTCAACTGACTTCCTCGAGACATCGCGATCTAATGTTGTCGAGGGCCTCCCGCCTTCTCTGGGTTCCCGGGCCGAACCATTTCCCAAGGAGTGCATGCTGCCGTCTTTCGAATGCGGCAATTCCCTCGTATATGAGCTGGCACTGGAGCGCGGACCATTCAGGGAGTAGGCACTGCCGTTGGTGAGTTGGCGGTCATTTGGAGGGGCATCCAGATGGTTCGTGTCGCCATTGGGCCAATTTGTCCATAAGAACGTATTTCCGACGGACGTTTTCTCCGACGTTTTCCCCTGCGGTGAGTCGAATGGACGCGGGTGAGTAGCAGTTGCAGTGGACGATTGGTATGCGACGTCGTTAGAAAAGGAGGGCATGGTCGCTTAGGTTGGCTCAGAAGTCCAGCGGAGACAGAGAGATAGGGAGAGCGGGGGTGGAGGAAGTAGCGATGAGGGAAGGTCGGTATTAGCCTCAGGATTTAGGGGCAGGTAGGAGTACTGAGGTCCCGGGTCGTTGGAAAGTCGAAAGACCCTATCGGCGACGCAACGGGTAGAAGGGAGGGGGTAAGAGCGCGAGAGGAAGGGGGGGGAGGAGATTAATCGATCAATGGCAGCGGTTGCAATGCAAGAACAGTCAAAGTTCCCGGATTAAGCTGGGGAAGCCAGCGGGCGGCAGAAAGTTTAACGACTGATAGGCATATTCAGGCGAACACTAGATGAGGCAGATGGTACGACACAATCGACGTGTCCGCGGTTTGAGGTTTGCGTGGAGGCTGGTAGAATCGGTCCGATGAAGATGACGGGGGGTGTGGAAAAGGTGTACAGTCGAAATTAAAACAGGTGAGAGAAACGAAGAGTGTACGGTCGGGGTATCAGTTGCAGAAACTAGCGACAAGCAGGAAAAGGAAAGGATGAGGTTGGCAGCGATAGGGAAAGACGAAAGGCGAGTTCTGGTGGAATGGACAGAAGAGGAGGGGAGGAGGATGGCGAAATGATGGGGGGGGAGAGCAGCAGGATAAGAGAATGAAGTTGGAGCGAAGACGCAAGAGAGCGAGAGAGCGAGTGAGTGAGAGAGAGCGAAACGGGAGAGCGAGAGCGAAAGAGAGACAACCTGAGAGAGACTCCAGAAGATGCCAAGGTCCGAGACGGTACCCGTATTTCGCAAGCTAAAAAAAACGAACGAACGTGGAGAGTTTACGGCTTGTACTGTGCCTTGGCTAGAACTGGTGGTAACTGGTAATGGTAATACCACGCGAAAGGGGAAGAGAGAGAGACAGGCACAACTACGTAAAAGGGAAGAGGGAGAGAGAACGAATGAACAGTGCAAAGGAGGGAAAGGAAAAGAAGAGGAAGTCTAGGGAAGATTTGTCAATCCTTTTCCTTTTGACATCAAAACAACAAAAACCCCCTTCCTGTCTCACTTCTTTTCAGCCTAATAATAATATGATCTGAGAGATTACTGTATATGTGTGGTTGTTATTATTACGATGATTATTAACTCCTTCCCAGAAGTTGCTGAAAAACAAAGTTAGACCCAGAGTGCAAAAGAAGGGGAAAAGACCCGGTTTGGAGGGAGTAAGTGAGTGAGTCTGGTCCGATAATAAGGAAAGAGTAGCACCAGCTCCACTCTTCAGCTTTCCTCGGGTTGTTGGTTGGGTACTGATCCGTGTACCGATGAATGGCAAGTAGTATATCTAGGTAAGAATCACACCCTCCATTTGAAAGAAAGAAAAAGTTATTTTAAATCTGAGCAGTCAGAGAGATCATTCAACAATCTTCAAACCCCATCCCCATGCAAATATGCAACAGAGCAAAAAAAAAACAAGGTATCTTATCTCTCCGATGTGTTCCCCCCTCTCTCCTCCCCGTGACTGACCGAACCACTCATCCATACATACATCCATCCATACATACTAGTACTTCCATACCGTATGTAAGTATGGTGGTATCAGGAGGCTTGGCATGATGACCCCGTCGCAGGCAGACATCTAAAAGGTCATCCATCAATCATTTAACTGAACCATCCTCACGCCCTGAGCTGATCAACCTACTGAACCCTTAACTAAGCCCTGAAAATATTCTCTCTCTAGCTGTTCTCGTCAATTGAACAACAAAGGACACTTTTCCGTCTCTACTAGTCTTATATATAAACTACTCAAACAGATAATGCCAGATAAAATAAAAGGGGAACGAGGCACAGTAAGGTACAACCGAAACCTCCTTACCACTCACACACACGCTGGCTGCATGCAAGACAAGAGATAACCATCCAACACAACGACCACCGGAGAGATTAATCGAGCACGTACAGCCAGGATGCATAAGGAACATCTGTCGGGTCGTGTCTCCACCCGTCCATGACATGTTAGATTGGAAAATCGTGTTCGAGCTACTACTACTACTACTTTCAGAGCAGTGACTAGTCAGCCCCTGATTGAATCTTGGGGGGCAAGAGCTGTCGCAATGATCTCTAGTGTATGGAGTAGATTGGTGGGACACTTTTGATATCCAACAACACCTGGCCTTTCCACGCCCCCGTCGATTATAATTGCCTTCGATTGAAAAGTAGGGATGGACAGATGAAGCACACTCACTTCCTCCCTCCACACACACACACCCACTGTGAAGGCAGCCCAGCCCAGCCCGCAACCCCCTGGTTTAATGATTACGTGCCCGCCCAATGCAGGAATGACCCTCGTCAATAAAAAATGACAAATGATAGCTACAGATCTTCCATCTCTCAAGCCATGTACGCAGTAGATACATCTGGCTTGCATTATGGCTGCCAACGTCAGAATTCCTCCGGGAAAACGGTGGCTGGGGCCATAATAACCAACGACTACTAACTAAACCAACGATCCGGCGTCTCGACTCCCTTCCTCAAACTCGAGAACTGACATTCGATACAACAACAGAATCGAATTGAGTGGTATATTATCTCCTTAACAGCCCGTACTAGATAGTAGCAGCCCATCCCGCCCTTTCCAGTGGATTCTGCACTGATGATCACCAGTAATGCCAACGTCACATCATCATCCCCTCCCCCCTCAAAACCAACTTCCTCCTTGCCCTGACGCAATAGGTTACTACTCACAAGGTAGGGAGTTTCCCACCATCGACAATGTATCAGGTCACCTGCAGAGCGAATCAACCCAATCATTGAGCGAATTAACTAACGATAGGCGGGAGAATCACAACCCATCCCCAGCCCTAGCCAGGGATGAACATTCTGTATGTTGCAGCAGAAAAGATACTTACTATACACTTGACGTCGTCCCGGATCGATTCAATTCAATTCAATTCGTTTCATTTCAACACCATGGACAAGTTCTGTATCCCCAATACCGGGCCACCAAACATAACCCCCCGTAATATTGCAAAGCCCCAGGCACAAAAACACCCACCTCTCTCCCTCGGAGTTAACCAACTGTGATTTCCTTAATCAAGTAACTAATACTACGGAGTAATAACTAACCCAAGTCATCATTTTTATGAACACAATTACTTAATTAATCAATCAAATATCCCTGACTCAGCGGATCCCCCGGAAAGGAAAGAAACCAGCAATTTGGAGGCAAAAAATGGACCTGGAAAGTTGAGTGGGCGCAATTTTGCTATTTTTGGGCCGGAGGGGAGGGGGGAGGGAGGACCCGGTCGGGTGCTAAAAAGTAAGTAAGTATGGAAGTAATCTACTGGCTTTCTAGTCGAATGAGCTTCCGGCTTCCGTCCACGCTTCGGTATCGAATAGTAAGTAAGTAATTCCTATCTAATATTTACATAGTACTTAACTAGATGGTCCGGTGAGTGACCTCATCCGAGTTCCCAGTCCACCCACCGGTCGGTCCACTTCTTTCTAGCACGTACGTACTAAGCACACCCGCGGATGCATACATTAAGCTTAAAATTGACTCTTTTCGAGCTACTGTGTATAGACTATAGATATCTATGTACTGGCGTGCATTCGGTTCTTTGATTTGCGCTAGTTGCGAATTTTCTTGCCCATCATTGAGGATCATTCCTTCAACTTGATATAGTTGACGAATACTGCGCCACTGGCAGAGTATACTCAAGACTACAGATTGGCTACACTGCATCTCAACGTAATTGAAGAAATGGACAAGCAGTTTCATTGCATAACGTCACACCCGTCCTTAGACAAGTGCCCCAAAAAAGAAACATAAGAGTCAGGCACAAAACATATCCCGGTGCAAGATCCATCGCAAGACGCCAACCCTACCGACACTGAAAACGAAAGTGTAAACAATCCACGGCATATCCCAGAAACAGTTCCCCCATTGATCAAAAAGTGGCCAAGGAACCAAAAAAAAATAGAGGAAATAAAAAATTACAGCAGAAGAGACAAAGGGAATATAGCTCGAGAAAGATCATCCGAGGCACACATCACCGACTAGGAGGAGCCGGGTTCAAGTGGTCGCCGACAACACGGTCTCAGGCGCCCACAGATTTAAGCAGCAGTCTCCTTTGCAGCCTTCTTAGTGGTCTTCTTGGTGGCCTTTTCTGCAGGCTTAGCCGTCGTCTTAGTCACCCGGCCACTCTTGGTGGTTTTGAGGACCTTGGGCTTGTCGACAACGGCAGGAGCCTGCTTCAAGATTAGTATACCCTGTCCGTCCGGGGTGAGAAGGCAAGGGTCTACAACTTACAGTAGTGGAGGCCTTGCGAGGCTTGGCCGTGTTAGCCTTGGGCCTGCCAACAGGCTTCTTAGCAGTGGTGGTGGTGGCCTTCTTGGTGGTCTTGGGCTTCTCGGCCTTCTCAGTCTTCTCGGTCTTCTTGGCAGCAGGCTTCTTAGCAGTAGCAGCCTTGGTGGCAGTCTTCTATAGGCGGCGTTAGTAACAACTCTCAATCAGTTCCAAATATTATTGATAGAGACTTACCTTAGCAGCAGGCTTGGGGGCAGCTTCCTTCTTGGCAAGCTTCACGGGTCCGGACGGGCCTGGTTGACGACGCGTCAGTTAACACGCCCCATCAAAAATCAAGACGGAAAAATGAAAGACGCGAACGATGACTGTCAAGACACGGCCTTCCGTGTCAAGAGTATCGAATACCGTTGCGACATGAGAACAAGAATGCGCGCGATGGATTAACTTACCCTTGGGCTGAAGGAACTCGCCCTTCTCAACACCAGCCTTGATGGCCTTGTTGAACTGGCTGTCAAAGGCGTTGGTGGAGGCAGAAGCAATCTTGTTGTTCGCCTGAACGTATTTCTTGATCGACTGGCGGCTACAGTCGAGGAGAAACACGACGAGTCAGCCGAGATCGCGACCTGGACAGGGTGGTAGGTTGCCACGTCGCCAGCGAACGGGACCCTGCATCGGGCGGGGGAGAAGAAACACGAAACAACTTACCTGCTACCATTGCGCTCTTTCAGCTGTTGCGAAAGATGTCAGCGACCCATTTGGGAGGAGAAACAAGCAGGAGCCCGATGGGGCGTTGGGACAATTAAGCACCGTGTAGACGTGTCACGGTCGGAGATCCCGCCCAGCGCCCGTCATCCCAACGCGCACCGGGAACAGCGTGATTAACTCACATTCAGGATAGCATCCTTGATCATATCTATATTCATGGAATCAGCAGTCATTCGCGACAAAAATGATATTAATTTCAATGCTACGCGATGGGGTGGTGGTGAAAGATCAGTCAAAACATACCACGGTAGGAAGCGTGGCTCGAGCCGGACTTCTTGGTGGTGGTGGTACCGGTGGTGGAAGTCTTCTTGGGAGGCATGATGAAGGTGGGATGGGTGTGGGTTATTTGAGATGAAATAAAAGGTAGTTGATGAGGAGTGATGAACAAGGGAGATGAACCAGATGATTTGCAGAAGCAAGGTTGTTGGTGGGATGGAAGCAAAGAAGAAGAAAAGCAGTCGACGACGGAAGGGGTGGAAGGCCGCGGGGCATCCGCGCTTTATAGGGCAGCGGGTGTTGACACAGGATCAACTCGACAATCGAGCACAACACGTCAGGTCGCCCTTTCTCCTCTTTTTTTTTCCCTCATTCCTTTTTTTAAATTTTTTCTCTCCTCGTCTCTTTTTGCGTGTGAGATTTATCTGTGTATTTGCCTCGGTTGTGTAGTGGCTCATATTAATTTGGTTTTATCATATCAATGTTCGTGTAGGTCTTCTTGTAGATTGTCTATGCATTCCTTCTGGGCCGAGTTGCTGCTTCCTACTATTTCTTGACGCGCATGATCCAGCAATGATTCCTACGCGTGCTCGCTTCTCCTCCATTTTCCCCCTTTTCACTGAGATTTTGAAAGCTAAAAGTTGCTCCATACACTTCTCCAGTGGCGCTACTATGACCCTACCACCTTAAATTATTCTTATCTTTTTAAGTTGTTCGTGAAACCCGCAGTCATTCTGATCCCAACATCACCCGTCCCCGTTGTGATTGATGCTTTTCGCAACTACCACACCATCTTCAGTCGCATTCACACCACACCCAACAATTCAAATTTCTATTTAAATAAAGACCATATTCGAATTTGTCACAGACTTATAATTCACTATATCTACAAATATCCGTAAAATACGTAGTCAACCCCTGATTCTAACCCCAAAAACCCCGAGGACTCCAGATCACATCCATCCGTGTCCGCCCGATTACTTCTGCTGCAGTCCGATCAAGCTCCCGGATCAACTCCCAACTTACACGCGATGATCATAAGAAAATAGAACCGATTTGACGCCTCTCTTTCCCCTTGCATCAATCACATTCATTGGTCTTTCACGTCTGGGGCGCAAAGCTATGAATGGAACGGCTGGGGGCTTAGGGTGGGCAAGAGGCGTCCATGTCTCACTTTGTTCTGATTTCCCTCGTGCGGAGAGGCTCTGGGGTCACGAGGTAACAAGATGATGTTATGGATTTGACTTTGGGGGAAATTGGGGGGTGGTAGACCCAGCTTTGAGAACTAGCGTATCCAGTGAGCTTGTGAGCAAAAGTGAAAGGTCCTGGGGAAATCCGGGCCTATGATCGACCATTCTTTGCTCTGTGATCCAGAGCTCCATTGACTTTGATCCCGTGGTTACATCGGCTTGGCGGTTGCTCGCGGTTCGATGGTTTGGAAGTAGATATATTGTTTTCTCTTGGTAGTCCTTGTACTACCTGATATGATCTATTTCATTGGCTTTCGCGGAGGTATCTCTCTTTGGAATAGGTTGTTCGTCCGGGGTTGTTGCGTAGACTTGATATCTACGGAGTAGAAGTGATGGTTGATATCAGCGGCGGGCCGGTTGATCGTTTGATGCCATGCGCCGACGCCGGATCACGAGCCCTGATAAGAGGACAACTTTCTTTCTTGATCCTCGTCCCAAACCACGGTATATATGGGTCTATTCCACATGGTAGCTTAATCTCTGGTGTCTATAATAAGTCAGGTACTGAAATTGAATATGACAGCGAATGGATGACTGGTTAAGCTTGAGGAATGCTTGGCGAGAGAGTATCAGGGTCCCCCTCGGCTTCAGCATCCGTGATCTACTTCACTCCCGTCCACAACGGCTTTAGCCCACTTGCTTACTTTATTGCTATGCGTTATTTTTCTTGCTATCAATGATGGTCTGGATTCTTTGACTATGTGGGCTCCCATTTTATTGGTTAGTACATAGCCTTGTGAATCCTGCTAGTCGATGTCAATCAGACATCACATTATATATTTCTAGTAGTGGTTTCCCCTCATCCGAGAATCTAGAATACAGTTAGTAGTACTATGACTACGCCACCAAAAGGATAAAATCACCCAATAATATTATTCAATAAAGCCCATCAGAGAAAGCTATCCACAAACACATTATACCCCATAGTGATAACCCCCTATAGTACACAGGAAAACGGGCAGAACCCATGCTCCCATCAACGCGCGTTGAACCCGCATAGTAGGGTAGGGTACGGAGTACTAAGCAGTAGTAGAGCGGACAGTCGCGTGACCCCACACCACCCACCTTTCAAGAGCAATCAATCGTACGACCGTTACACACCATAAAAAAAATAAAAAGGCTAAATACTAATAGTAGCGCACAATATACTTCTAATACTACATGAAGCTGGGATACGATCCTACAGAACTCTATTAAAAAATGGAGCAGAAGAAAAAAGGGGCGCACGCAATGCGATGCGTCTCACCGAGTCCCAGGTTCTCCCGATCTACATAGTACAACAAAAACCTTGATTTAAATCATGTACGACTACCAGTCGGGTTCAACCCCCCTCCTCCAAGCCTAGAACAAATGTAAACATGTCAGGCAACAAAGTTTCAGTTTGCTGCGGAGTTATTAGCTGCCTTATCTATCTATAGTATGTGTTGGTTATTGCTCTTTTAGTCCTTTCGTTTCTAGACAGCAAAAAAGAATCTTCCACGTCGTAAGGTATATACGTGGCATGCTGCACTCGTGCATAATCATCATCCATCCATTTATCCCACCGGTTGGAACGCCTCTCGCCTGAAGTAACTAGTTACACATATAATTGATTGCTGCGTTTTGTGAATGAATAAACCCGATAACGCCTCTAAACACCATGATTTCTGGAAGGACTCGGTGGACACTTTATATGCCGACGTGTGATGTCGGTCAATGTGTCGCTGCTTTTTTTCTGGTCGTTATCCAACAACCAATTGGGACAAAGTCGTATGTTTGGTATTTAACCAGCACCGCGAGGCCGTGACTTGGCCTCTTTCTTGGCTTTGGCCTCTTCCTTCTTCTTCTTTTTCTGCTCCTGAATCTTCTCGTCGTGTTTGCGCTTCAGGCTCGCCTTCTCTTCATCCGTGCGGGCGACGGGCTTGAAGAATCCTTCTAAGCGGGATTGTTGAGCGGACTTCAAGTTCTTTTGCAAGCGAGCAGCGCCGTTCTTGACGCGGTCTTCGTTGAACCCCTTATCTTTGACCAGGAAGTCTACCAGACCGGGCACGTCGGGCGCTTCCCATTTGAAGTCGCATTCGGGGTCATTGGCGTCCCTCACGTCGGGATTCAAGAAGAGCTCTCTAGCATCTTCGTAGGGCCAATCCTCAGGAACGACAAACTTCTTCTTCGGGTCGTTCTCCATAAACTCAAGCACCTTCTCCAGGCTTCCGTGGTCACGGATTAGTTTCAGCGCCGTGTTGGGTCCGACCTTGGGGATGGGTTCAAGGTAATCGCAACCCAGCAAGATACAAAGATCAATGAACTATATCACATCAGTAAGCATCCTTGAGGCGTAATACCGAAATGAACTTCGGGACCATACCTGCTTGCGGTCCATACCAAGCCCCTCCAGCGCACGGTTCAAATGAATCTCCTGAATGGGTTCCTTCCTCTGTTCACTGAACGTAAGGTGGCGCAGAAGAATTGGCGTCTCAAAGCATAGCGTATCCATATCCTCCGAAGCAGCTGCATAGACCTTTCCAGCGCGCGCGAGAACCGCGCACTGCGCCTCGGCTTCAGTGGGGGCATCGATGTATGGAATGCCCATCAACTTCAAAAGCTTCTTACATTCTGCATTGTGCTCTCTGGTGACTCGTACTGTGCGTCGCGAGAATTTCTCAACATCCTCTGCCGTACCGGTTTCCTTGGCCTCCTCGTGAGCCTCGGTGGCTTCGCTCTTCCGAGCAAATCGCTTGGCTAGTTCGCCGGACTTGAGCTTCGGGGGAGCTCCATCAAATACGTACAGAGGCTTGATGCCATTGTCGACCATGCGCAGAGTGCGGTAGAACATGCCCATCAAATGCGACGTTGTCTCTCCGGTGTCGCTCATAAGCTGCTGACCTTCGGAACGGACCGCAATGAGAAAACTGTAAATACTCATGGAGCTGTATGGCAGTTAGCGAATGCAAGCAATGCGATAATGCGGGCAACGGCAGCTTACGCATCCTAAAAATTCAATTTCGTCAGCTCTGTCTGAAACGAGAACAGCTTGCTCACTGAGAGTCACGGCGAAGAGGCTAGGAGGGCTTAACATACTATAGCGACCTTCCGGCCGAAGTGGTTCTTGATGTCCCCTGCCTTGATGGCATCTGGGGCATTTTCTGAAATCACCTGATACAGCTCTAAGCGTGGTCAGCTTCTATGAGCTTCCGAGGATGGAGATAAATGCGCTGCGACAGAGCAGTCTTGTGGAGGGGTGATAGTAATTTGAGAATACTCACGTTTAATACCCATCTTGAGATTTTCAATACTATCCAAAACCAGGTGAGGTACAGACTCTCAGTCACCGCAAGCAGTTGGAAGGGAATGGCAGGCAGAAATCAGAGGGGAGCCGCGACAGTGACGCGCCGCGGAGAGCTACGCGACATGCGTCATTTATAGACCTGGTTAGGCTTAGCGGCAGCCAGGCAGCTCTTTTCCACGTGACAGACATCCGCCCCGCGGTGGAAAGCTCCCCGGCCCCTCTTACATAAGAGCCATCAGGCTGCAAGGCCACAAGGCCCCACCCGGCGAGGCCCCGTGCAGAACCCAAAGCAGTAAGGCGCTGTTTGTTATCGGGCCTGGCCGTCTCGGACTCTCGGTCGAGCAGGCAAATCGCAGCTCTCGGAAACGCAACCGCCGGCATTTGCAATGTCCACCCCCAGACCCCTCTCTCTTCTCCTCTCCTAGGATTGTTCCTGTGCCGTTGGCCCTCTCGTGGTGGATATAGCCCGGAATTATCCCCACTCTCACGCGAGCTACATGATTTGCCTATGACGATGCGTCTTGCATTGGCATCATGAAGCGAAGTCGTCTTCATTTCGAGTCCAACGGTGATGCCTCCTCTGCCGCCTCTCCCCAGAGTACCCGCCCACAGTATACCCCGGAAAATGACTCACAGCAGAGCCCGAGGCATGTCCCCAAGATCTCACGCAGAATCAGAGCTTGTACGGAATGCAAGCGCCATAAGGTCCGCTGTGATATGAATGCGGGGGAGACCGTTTGTCACAGATGTCGTCGCATGGGCCTGGAATGTGTTGTCAACAAAAGCCTCCAGACGTTGCTGGACGATGAGACAGAGTAACTATACCACTCTTTTTGTTTTCATTCGCATAGCTTGCAGGAGACCCAGTGACTGACTATCTCTGGTGTATTCAAGATGGAAGGCCACAATAGAGCTCGCAATGGCAGACCTACTACGAAAGGCCCAGCTACCCGATCTTACATATTATCAAACTAATGGAAAGGCATCAGAGCCACTGTCAAAGAAAAGAGACCGCCAGGATTCTACAGTGTCGACGGAAGGCACGCCTCTTGGGACGGATCATGATGTTGGAGCAGAGCGTCTTGAAAGCAGCGCGCAGAGAGTAGCACCCGAGCCCAGATCATCCGAAACCACCTTCCAACAGCCTTCACAATACGCCCTAGACAGGGAAGAGAACGGAACCTCATCGCTGGTCACGGCTCCGATGGGGAGTCTGTACGAAGTGACACAGTTGAGCGATATTCAGACAACTTCACCGGGAAGGCATCATGCACCAGATCGGGCTCTTGTCACCGATTTCGTTTCGCGGGGAGTAGTGGATTTGCACGAGGCGGAGGAGCTTTTCTCCTACTTTGATCAAGTACTTAGCCGTTATCTTTGGGATGGGATATTGCTGGACCACAAAGACCTGACCTCTGTGAGGAACTCTTCCTCGATGCTCTCCGCCGCCATTCTCGCTGTCACAGCCCTGCATTTGCCCAAGAAAGAACGCACATTCGATATTTGCTATACGGAGTTTGCTAGGTTAGCATCAGAATCAATGCTAGACAGACACCACACGCTGGATGATCTGCGCGCGTTATGTATAGGCGCCTTTTGGCTTGCAGACGTAAGCTGGAAGCTGTCTGGGTATGCAGTGCGGATTGCCACGGAGCGCAACCTGCATCAGTCTTACCGGAAAGCAACACAAGGCTCTCCAGAGCATATAGAGCAAGCTAGGCTGTGGTATCTTCTATATGTATGTCTCAACGCTATCGATTGTAGCCCTGGTGGGCTTCGTACAACGAGACTGACTGGCCTAGACCCTAGAACATCACTTCTCCATCGCCTACGGACGACCCCCGATAATCCACGAGGACCAGAGCATCAAGAACCACAATACATTCACCCATACCCCTAACGTGCAGCAAGGTGACTTGCGTCTGCACAGCCAGGTCGATCTGTTTATCATTCTTACCCGAATATACCACGCCTTTGGACCCGATGTCGACTTGGAGGTTCCCGACAGCGAATTTACTACCATCGATAAATATGATGCTGACCTTGACAACTGGCGGATAGCCTGGTATCCGCGTTTGGGTACGTTTTCTGTCCCTCAGTATATTGTCTAGGTGCACATTTCGCTAATGTGGCTCGACAAGCAGTTGGGAGTCGATATGTCGGTGCATATCCTTACAGAGCGGTTAATCTGCATTATCATTTCTCTCGATTACAGCTGAATTCGGTTGCTTTGCGGACCTATCACTCTTCGATATCGACACGACCCATGTCTGCTGAGCGAAAGAAGCGCGCGAATATAGCCATACAGTCCGCCATAGACACGCTTCGGGTGGTCCTAGATGAACCCGATATTCAGAGGGCCTTGGTTGGCGTCCCATTGTACCTCCACAGTATGATCACTTTTGCCGCCGTTTTCCTGCTGAAGATTGCAGCCAAGGGCTGCTCCAGCAGCATTCCAAACAACCAAGGCCAGCAAAATTCTATTTCCTCAGCCGGCCTACACATCGATGTCGCATACGTGCGGGAGCTGGTTGGGCGGATCGTGAATATGATGGTCTCATGTAGTAAGCGTGCAAGCGAGCACCATCTCAGCCACCATATCGCCCGTGGCTTAAAAAAGATGCTCACGGGGTTGGAGGAATGGGAGAAGAGGAATCTTGGTAATTCCCAGTCTCTGACACATAACTCTCACGATGCTCTGCCCATGTTTAAACCTGTTGTTATCCCCGGGGCTCAGCCCCTTGGAGAGCGGGACACGATACTGAACCCCCCTCCTCCATTGCTGGGAGTCGCTCCCTTGTCTGCTGAGAGAGGAAATAGCTTCGACTCGGATGCGACACAGTCGAAGGCCCAGACGGGCCTCTCAGAAGGGTCGGTGGACCCTATGATGGCGGATCTCTGGGGCTTTGATGAGGATTACTTCCCGACCGGGGTGTTTGATTTCCTTCAGTCCCAGATGCCTGCTTGAGCATACCGTATGGAGCAGCGTGTTGCCGTGGTACTAATGCAGGGCTATGAGTCAGTCTTTACTGAGGACTATACAAGTCGAAGCACCAGTTGTTTACCATGGTGTATATAGTATCCAAAATACATTCCAGAAACGAGTCAGTCGGCTCTGATTTAGAAACAGCAAACTATTTAGCTGATTCCAGAAGAGTGGGTTGTCCCCTCTAGTAATCGCCTTCGCAGGCTGGCCTCGCAACCGTTGCAGAATCATGATGAATACTAGACGGCGGACAGTATTGTAGAGTATACAGTGCTGTTCCTCGTAGACTACCGTCCTTATGATACATGACAATCTGTACAGCGAAATGCCGGACAAACGAGATATCCGCCTGGGCTCTATCTATACAAGCTTGAGGAGGGCCGGTTATTGGGCGCCAGCGCCGACGGAACGGGCTGCAAGCCGAGGTCGGCCGCGGAAGAGTGTCCCCGCGGCTCGGCTGGGGAGTTGGAAGTTCAATTATCATGAAGCATATAAGGAACATATCTACTGCTGGAGTCTGTTCTATAATCCAGTAGAATATCAATCAATTACATACATTGTCACCGTGTGTCCTTGTGTAAGTTCTAATGCTCGCATGAATCTTTTCCGACGGATTGCCGAGGTTGGGGGAACCGAGACACCGAAAGTGTGCCTGGATGAATGTCTCCCCGCAACAACCTCCGAACCATCTATCCCTTGGCTGTCGCAACCCCAGTTGTCTCTCGCATCCCAAGACATTTGGTCACTCCAATTGACACTGTCTTGGTTATACAGATATCTCTGACTTATTCATAATCTTACTCGCGCCTACAATCTCACATCATGAACCCATCCGGCTTCCGCACGGCTTCGCGCCACCTCCACCGCCTGTGTCGAGCACCCGCAACCTCGCGCAATGCTTCGGTCCGTGGATACGCTACCACTTTCAACTGGGAGGATCCTTTGGTCGCTTCGGAGTTGTATACAGAGGAGGAATTGGCTATCCAAGACACAGCTAGGCAGTACTGCCAGGAACGCCTGCTACCCCGCGTTCTAGGTATGCCCGCCACTCCTTAAGGCGGCGAGGGAAACACTCATGTGGTGGATCATGGCTAACAATTATGCGCATACTAGATGCCTACCGGAACGAGAACTATGACCGCCAGATCCTGACCGAGATGGGCGAACTCGGCCTCCTCGGCGCGAACATTGAAGGGTATGGTTGCGCCGGCGCAAGTACCGTGGCCTCCGGTCTTATTACGAAGGAAGTCGAACGTGTGGATTCGGGATATCGTTCAGGAATGTCTGTACAGAGCTCTCTAGCTATGACAGCCATCCATGACTTCGGTACACAGGAGCTGAAGGACCGACTCCTCCCCGAGCTGGCAAGGGGAAAATTGGCTGGATGCTTTGGTCTCACTGAGCCTAACCACGGCTCTGACCCTGGCTCCATGGAGACAGTCGCCCGGGAGCACCCTACCAAGAAGGGATACTACTTGCTCTCTGGCACCAAGACCTGGATTACCAACTCTCCTATCTCCGACATCATGATCGTCTGGGCTAAGCTGCAGACCACGGGCAAGATCCGTGGATTCGTCGTCGAGCGCAGCCAATGCCCACCGGGTACTCTGGAGACGCCCGCCATCAAGAACAAGACTGCCCTGCGCGCTTCTATCACTGGTATGATCCAGATGGATGACTGCCCTGTTCCCGCGGAGAACATGTTCCCTGAAGTTCAAGGGCTCGCTGGTCCCTTCACCTGCCTTAACAGCGCCCGTCTGGGCATTGCCTTTGGAGCTATGGGTGCGCTTGAAGATTGCCTGGATCGTGCCCGCACCTATGCGCTCGAGCGCAAGCAGTTCAAGGGTAACCCACTGGCGAAGTACCAGCTCATCCAGAAGAAGCTGGCAGATGCGGCTACGGATGCTGCGTACGGCACACTGGCTGCGACACAGGTCGCCCGGCTCAAGGATGCCGGAAAGTGCACACCGGAGATGATTTCGATGGTCAAGAGACAGAACTGTGACCGTGCTCTGGCTAACTCGAGAATGTATGCCCTTATGCCCTCCACGTGAGAATCTTTGACAGGAAAGCAAGCTGATCCATCCTATTATAGTCTTCAAGAAGTGTTTGGCGGCAACGCAACGAGTGACGAGTATCATATTGCCCGGCATGTAGCCAACCTGTTCGTAGTGCAGACGTACGAGGGACAGAGTGACATTCATAGTAAGTATCATCGTCTACTGTTGAAGCAACATCTGTGTCATGTATGGATGGCGACTAACCACAACCAGCCCTGATCCTCGGCCGCGCCATCACCGGCGTCCAGGCATTCGTCTAGACGAGCAGACACTTCAACCCCTAACTCTCAGTTCATCTACTTACCTACCTACTCGATGAAACCCTCACACATACATGTACATGTACAACTACAAATATACAAACACGGGGCTACACTAACCCAACCATACTCCATATCCCAAGCACTACCTACCTACAGAATATCTCTTATACATCTACCATAGTAATACTAAGTATGAATCGACCCTTCCAGAAACGGTCTTCCCCATCACGTGAAAGAAGAAGCAACCTAAGCCTATGCTGCGCCACGTGGCAAGGGCACCCGCAAACCGCACTGGTATGTAACATGATTACAAACAGGAAGAGTTACTGACTTGGGTAAAGTTAGTCATAAAAGGGTGGTAAAGAATTCGGGTTTGCCTCCCGATGAATGATCCCGGATCGATGGTGGAAGAATGACCACACACAGAACTTAGTAGTCGTTTTCAAGGTTTGGTGCAACTTCGGGAAGAAGAAAGTCTAAAGAATAGAACATGTGTTTCACTTAATACGGAGTACTATTATGAGGGGGTTGGTTGGTTGGTTGTTTGTTGCCGAAGAGGGGAGGTGTATGATCTAGTATCTACCACATGTGTTGTGTAGTATGGAAGTGGGGATGGAAAGTATGTACAGTAGAGAAGAATTTGAAGCAACTACGTAGTAACTACAAAGTAGGGTAGTAGTTTGTTTGCAACATGCCGTTGCCACTGCCGCCGGGAAATAAAGATTAATTTATTTTGTGGGGTGTTGGGTGGCACAGATATGAGAATCTATCTTGTTGTATAGTATACTAGTGTCTGCTAAAATAAGAGGGGTGCAGGATCGGTATACTACCTTAATATAAGTCGGAGTATCTTTTGGGAAGTCATATGCTTGCCTGGTATGCATGTACTTGAAGCAGTCACTATCCCACAAGTACCTAGATCATCTAACTGTAATAGCCTAATAGGTGTAGGTGTGAGTGATAGATTACGAGTTATATTACAAGAGAAAAAAAAAAGAAAGGCAAAAAAAAAGAGATCCATTATTCTTGATAATATTGACCCAGTCAACGGGCAGAACCAGCATTGCAACTGGGCAAACAACGGTGGTAGCCACCAGTAACAAAGTGAGCGGACTGCCGGTAACCACTCAGCCTATCGGTTTTGTCCACCGTCCGATTGATACCCGTCTGGGAGGGACCCGAAATTGAAGGTGTGGCTGACAATGGAAGGGAGGGAGGGGCTGTTCAGGTGGATATCTTGGATTATCTGGGCTGACTTGGGAATGATGACGATGTTGGTGATGACGGGGAGTACCGGGTGTCATTTAGATTATTCATTTGGGGGGAGTAGCCTAAATTTGGGTGTCCAACTATTGGATGATCACTATTGGAAAGAATGAGGAAGTAGCAAAATCGGCAGAAGCAGAATGATGCATCTAGAATGTCCGACTGGATTGGGAAATGACGATGGAAGGAGAGGGAGGGTGTGGCGCAACGGTGGCTGACGGACGCCTGACTAAGGTAAACCCGATTAAATAAGCCGAGTAATCAGTCGGTAATAACCGGTAAATACGGGTTCAGAGGGGCTGGTGACTGGGCTGGGTTGCCCGCCTTTCCCTTTCTCGCTCTTCCCGTCCACTGACTGACTTTCCCTCTTCTTTCTCTTCTCCTCTCTCTCTTCCTCTTCTCCTTCAGCCCAATTCCCCCTCTTCTTCCTGTTCGTCTTCCGACGTAATCAGCCCACGGTGAGTCTCTTCCTCCATTCCATCCTCAACCCCTCTCAACTTCCCCCTCCAGTCTAGTCGACTTTGCTAGTCGTCTTCTTCTTTGCTCCTGTTCGTCGTCGTCGTTGTTCTTCTCTTCTTACATACCTCGCCGTTGTGCTGACTGGGAAATCGTGTGCAGATTTCCACCTTCAAATTCGATACCACTCGCTTTGCACTTTTAACCTAGGAGATCCTCTCCATTCTTTACACATCACACATTCGCCATGGCTCTCAAGAGAATTAACAAGGAACTCACTGACCTCGGCCGGTAAGACTTGTCCTCATCATCTTGTTTCCCCTCGCCTGCCTCTTTGCCGCCGCCTGGTGTTACACCCCACCACAGCCGCGGGGCGTTCGTCTACCCTCCGCTAGACAGCACCTGTGTTATCACGCATTGCCAGGGCATGTATAGAACTGCGCTAACGTGGTTGTCTTCATTTTACAGTGATCCCCCCTCTTCTTGCTCTGCTGGTCCTTCCGGAGATGACCTGGTATGGTTTCACCCCTCCGACCCCTCGTTGCACACGGTCGCATTGCCGCTTTCGCCGACTGCGGCGGGGCAATCCAACGCAGATTTGCCTCAGACCTCTTGATCAACGACATAATGCCTGAAATGAATACTGACATTGCTTTGCTGTACAGTTCCACTGGCAAGCAACTATCATGGGTCCTGTGAGTATCCCCGGATTTCTTCTGTGACGTCCGGATGTAGCAAGTGTCTCTGTTCCTTTGTCGGGAGGACCTTGCGGCACTCAACGGTGTCATTAGCTTTGTTATTTTGGGGGAATTATTTGCTAACGCGACTTCCAGGGTGACTCCCCCTACTCAGGAGGTGTTTTCTTCCTGAACATCCACTTCCCCACCGACTACCCATTCAAGCCCCCGAAGGTCAACTTCACCACTCGGATCTACCACCCCAACATCAACGCCAACGGCAGCATCTGCCTTGACATTCTCAGAGACCAGTGGAGTCCTGCTCTCACAATCTCGAAGGGTATGTTTTCTACCTACAGACGCTATTGACGCATATCCTAATCTGCTGCAGTGCTACTTTCGATCTGCTCCATGCTCACAGACCCCAACCCCGACGACCCGTTGGTGCCGGAAATCGCTCACGTGTACAAGACGGACCGTCCCCGGTACGAAGCGACCGCGCGGGAATGGACTCGCAAATATGCCATCTGATCTTCGCAATTCAATTTACACGGCCACCTTGGTCTTCCCAATCCGCTTCTGCGTCTTCTTTCGCTCCGTTAGATCAGATCCGAAGCCTGGCGTACCGTGATCGTAGATCCTTTCCTTGTTATTCTCCGTGAACTATTTGCGTGTGTCTGGAATTCCGCGTTTACCCCCTTATTTTCGCTTTCTCCTTTTTATTTGCGGGGGAAATGTCATATCCAACGATCATTATGACCACTTCTCATTATGCATTCATGGCATTTTTTATTTTCACTCAATGGAGTCGGATAAATGTTACCTGATGAACATAAGGCCCCAGGAAGGGTGTGGTTTTCGATAATTCCTCGGGTCGGGGTTGAGGGGAGGATGCTGGGTACTGGTACGGTCGTGAGGCTGAAGCCTCTGGGTGGTGGAAATGGATAACCGGGGATGAGGAGAGGAGATGAGAGAAGTGAGGGTTGGTTAATTGGCGATGCTGCTGGTAAGGGATTTGGTGGCTTGTATTCTTCAGTAGGACCAATCAGTAGGAACCATTAGCAGGAACCAATTACCAGTGGATCGTGTGCCATCAGCAGTGTAGGTGTAGATCATGGTAGCCCGACTCAACTGGCGGTGTAGTTCGCATGTTTGCTTATACGGACAGTACACTCGACATATCATCTATAGTAGTCATATCGGTGCCTGAGGCTAACAAGGGGAAGCTATGCGCTGATTGACTCCCCATCCATTCCACCATCAATCAACCTATATCCATTTACTACAGAATAAATCAACCCCAATGGCATCTCTACCAAGACCTCTAAGAATTCAAACCATCCGTCGAATACCCCCATCAATTAGAAAATATACATCCCATCACTACCTTCCTAGAGACATCCCCATCGAAGAAGAAACCCTCCCCTACTACAACCCCAAGCAATACTACCCCGTCAACATAGGCGACATCTACCACTCCCGATACCAAATCATAGGGAAACTCGGCTACGGAAGTACTTCCACAAGCTGGGTATGTCGGGATCTTCGGTGTGCAATATCCCCTATCCTACATATAATAAATAAGATTATCTAACGATGTACATACGAACATGACTTCTATGATCAAGATCCACCAACAATAATGATAAAGAACTTAACAATGAATACAAAGTCCTCAAAATCTCCACCTCAATACCAACGAAGGACTCTCATAACCGTGAGTACAGAGTGTATGAACATCTCGCCAACGTAGTTAACAAGGGGTCTTCACATCCGGGGCAATCGTTGATTCGCGAGGTGTATGATTCTTTTGAATTGCAGAATACAGCAGTATCCGAAGGAGAAGAAGAAGAAGGAGGAGGAGAAGGAAAAGGGAGTAGTATACACCAATGTCTCCTCCTCCAACCCATGACCATGTCCCTTCTCGACATGCTACAACTAAATCCTAGACCGTTCGATCTACCCTTGCTGAAAATGACTATCAAGCGGATTTTACTCGCGCTGGACTTTCTGCATGCGGAGGCGGGGGTGATTCATACTGGTACTACCATCTTCTTCTTCTTCTATTCCATCTATATCTACCAACTAAATCATTGACTAATGTATATACTATATATTAAAAAAAATAAATATAGATCTAAAACCAGACAACATCCTCCTCACCCTCCACGACACATCCCTCCTCCCCTCCTTCGCAGCCGCAGAATCAACATCCCCAAGCCCTAGGAAGATAGTATCTTTAACTACTGACCCACCCCCCCAACGTACCATCTACAAATCTCGCCCCTTCCCCCCTCCCAAAGGAAACAAGAACTACGGCCTCCCCACGCTCTGCGACTTTAGCGAAGCGCGCATCGGCACTGTGCAGATGAATTCAGGACCCTTCATCCAGCCGAGTATTTACCGTGCGCCGGAGGTCATCTTTGAGATGGATTGGGGGTGTGCTGTTGATGTTTGGGGGGTGGCGGGTGTTGTAAGTCCCCATCTTCTCCTTTCTCTTCCTGTTGGTTGGTTGTTTGATTTGTGTATGAGTTGTGTGTGTGTGGTTGATAATTTGACTTATTGATATACTTACTATGATGATGATGATAGATATGGTCCCTCTTCGAAGGCGAACACCTCTTCGGAAACGACATATTCGACCCTAAAACAGGCCGCCACCACGATCCATTCCGCCATGTAGCGCGTATGGTAGCGGTGATTGGATCACCGCCACCGGGGGAGTTTGTATGCAGGAGTGAGACCACGGCGCAGTGTTTTGATGAGGGGGGTTAGTATACCCTTCCTCCTCCTCCCCCATTTTCTTTCAAATTATTGTGTTAGAGTGGAAGGAATTATAATGCTGATATGATGGGTATAAGGTAACTGGATTGCGCACGATGAAGCGCCTATCCCCGGGAATATATCGCTCGAATCTTTGGAAAGGCGTTTGGCTGGTACGGAGAAAGAAGTCTTCTTGGGGTTTATGAGGGATATGTTGAAGTGGATGCCGGAGGAGAGGTGGACGGCGGGGGAGTTGTTGGGGCATGAGTTTTTGAGGTGATTTGTTTGTTATTTTTTTCTTACTATAGGTCTTGGATGGGGAGGGGGAGTAGATTGTATTTATGTTGGGGTGTTTATGGAGTGGTTAATGTTATCTGAGGGGAATGGTGATTGTGTGTTGATTGGTACTACTACTAGGTAGTAGTATGCTGTTTAGATGGGGATAGTCCTTAGAGGGAGGGAGGATTGTAGTATAGTATTATATATATTGAAGCAGGATTTGGTTTTGGCTTCAATCTAGTCTTATTGTATTTACGGCTACTTGGGACTGGTATGTTTTATGTGTTGATTTTATAGTGTTTTTCTCTTGAAGTTGAGTGCTAGTATCTAGACGAGTCAGGTGCGTCTTGCTGAATTGAGGTGACTATACCAGGACGTGTCCGCTAAGTTAACTAGAGTCTAATATAATGGATTCCTTCTAGGAACCAGCTCAATAATCCGGAAATTCCATGTATTCATATATGCATTCTGCGCCTTGACACCCTCCCAAAAAAAATGCTCAATGTTTCATGCAGGAATAAAGATAATAAAACGCAGATTCAAACATTCTTATGCAGTACGTATAGTATAGTATATAATCGCAGATAAATGCCAAACGAAATATATCTGAAGAACACGACCAACCCATTGAATAACATATAAATCAAACGCCAGGTTTCATGCTTTCCCCAAACCAATATGTAAAAATGTAGTAGAGTAACAGTTGTGCCTCACATACAAGGTCTGTAATGCAAATATGATGGTGTAATTATCGCAGCCATGTGGAAGCTACGTTTGAACAAGGAGAAAAGAAGAATGTAAAATGTGCAGAAGCTAAGCCACCTGGCTGGCAGTTCGGCGACTCACTTTCGAGGCAGCCTTGGACGGAGCGACACTGCCGCCACCACCACTACCACCAGCCTTCATGGTCCGCTGAGACGCTCTGGAGACGTTGGTAGAGACTTGGCTGACACTGTCGCTGGGCTTGACGGGCTCGTCGAACTTGGAGTGCTTCGACACCTTGGAAGGGCTCTTGGAAGCATGCGACCGGTGCGAGTAGGAGGACCGCCGGGAGTCGTCCACTTGACTGATCGAGTCGTCAGGGGTGACGTGGCTCTGGACGTCGAGGTCGACGACACTCTCGGGAAGAGGAACCTCACGAGCGGAGACGCCCGATTTGGCACCGCTGCGGTAAGAGGCGAAGGAGGCAATGGATCCCTCCGGGAGAGGAACCTGGCGGGCAGTGCGGTTGGAAGAGGCGGTGCTGCCGGCTTGCGATCGGCTCACGGAGTGGTAGGAATGGTGCGAGGAGTGATGAGAGCTGTGGTGGGACTCTTGGTAGTTGGCCTTGGAGGGAGGCCGAACCGTGGCGGATGAGTAGACGCTGCCACCATCCATCGCCCGCGACTTGTCCTCACGGAAGCTGCTGACCAGGGTGCTCTGGTAGCCTCGGGAATCGGCCGGCGGGGCGTACTCGATCGCTCGCAGGGGGATATCCTTGGTGGTGTACACGCTGCCCTCGGAGGCTCGACGGCCATTCTCATCGAGATAGACGCTGCCGCCGCGGGGGACAAACTCCGTGCCCTCGTAGATGGTGTCTGCGCGGGGGTTCTTCGAGGTCACACTGCGGGTGAGGCCCGGGCGGGCATCCGACCGAGAAGAATAAACGCTCCGCGGGGGAGGAGCCTCGATAGCCTTGTAGCCAGGGTATTCTTCCTGGGCTTGAGAGGGTGCTTGGGACGGGGAGAGCATCTGGACAATGTCCCGGGGCGAATACTGCGGGGGAGGGGTACTGCCCTCGGAATGTTGTTCTGAGGAGTCGGACTTGGTCATGGCATATGCGAGTGCAGCGCCAGCCGCAGCGCCAATCAGGGTACCGACAATGGTCTTGGCCGTCTTACCATCGTCAGTCTTGTGCTGAGTGGTGGTGTGAGTCGTGTGGTGCACAATATACGTGGGCGACGGGGCTGGCTGCATCTCGCGAGGCTGCTGGGATTCACGGCTAATGCTGATGGTGGACGGCGCGCGCTCGTACGGGGGAGGCGCTCTGTCCACGGCCGTCGAGGACCTGGAAACATACGAGCGAGCTTCAGACTTGGGAGGCGCAACGCTCTCGGGACGGACTGAGCTGGCTTTGCTGCTCGCCTTCGATACAACCGAGCCGTTCTCGAGCAAAGCCAGGGCTGGCCTAGTGAGCTCAGACCTGGCTTCAGATCTGGCTTCCGACTTGGCCACAGACTTGGCCACGGACCGGACCTCTGAGCGGGCTGATGAGATGCTAGGGCGGTATACTGCCTCAATGCTGTTGCCATCAAAGTCGATGACGGCGGCGCTGTAGTAACCAGAGTCGGAGTCGCGTTGCTTAGGCTCGCCATGGATCTTGCCTCCTGCCTTGAGGGCATTGATAAAGAAGGTGCTCACAGCATCCTTGGATGCTGCAGGGAAGGCGACATGAGCGGCACCTGCAGGTACGCTGCAAGGTCACAGTTAGTTCTCGTAACACGAATCAAAGTAGCATTGACGGAAACATACCCTGGTTTTTGTTCCGTGATCCAGAAATCTGCGGGCTCGCCGGTCTTTTGACCGAAACCAATGTAGTCATCGTGACGTCCAATGAATTGGTACCCCAGAGGTTGTAGGCAGGAAAGAAAGAAAGATGTGGAGGTAGGCAGGTGAGCAACCGTCAGGGTGAGGTGAGAGACGGGCATGTCTGTGTGGACTCGCTGGGTATATCCCTTTGCGAGTCGTGGTATAAAGAGGTGAAGTCAGGGGAGGGAAGAAAAAAGAGGTATGGAGGGGGAGCAGCGAGACAAGATAAATAGTAGATCTCAGATGGAGAGAGATCCACCAACAGGAGAGATCAAAAAGTCGATTGCAGACTCAGAAGCGAGTAAGAGAACAGGAGGATATATATACACAAAGACTGGAGAGATAGATAGGAGAGACCCATGAAATCATGAGAGAGAAATGGAGAGAAGCCGGCGAGAAGCAGCACTAGTATTTCAAGGCAAAATGCAGGCCAACCTTAGGAGTTCAGGAGTATGCCCCCGACATGCCCAACTTGGGATCCAATCACGAGCGGTCAGAAGCTTACAAGGGGGAGCAAATTATCATGGAAACTCGACCAGTTGTTCCAACCGTGGAGCACGACTAGACTAGGCCGGTTATCGCAGGCAGGCTTGCATAGACTCGCACGGCATCCGAACGATGCCCAGTATAATCCACGAGGCATCAACATCGTCTAGGCTCAGTCTGCAGGAAGTTGCCAAAGGGGATAGGCTCGGAGGGTGCTATCGCAAGGCCGCCACCCACTCTGACACATACTCAGACGACCCATGATGTTATTTTTTCGGTGAAGCTAATATCGAGGGGTACGAAAACTCAAGATGGCCGCCAGGTCATCGTGGGGAAAGACTGGCGGACGGTGCTGTAGGTGGCCCTGTCGCGGCGGACGGGGCGCCTATCAGAAAACGGTGGGGACTACGCAGGAGCCAAGGGTAGACAGCAGCATCTTGTCCAAAAGGGAACTTGAGTGAGGCGAGAGGGTCCAGGACAAGGTGGATGAAGGGGATTGGCAGTGGTGGAGACGGCAGCTACCAAACGAAAAACAGACGCTGAAACCGCGACAGGTGCGTAGACCGGCGTCAAAGAAGGGATTGGGGGGAAATTCCCTTGACTTTCTTTGAAGACCTAACCTAAATCATTGATTGTAACGACGGGCTCACTCGGCTAGGGTCCAGGATTGGACATCAGACAAACGCCTTGGGGAGGTCGCCAATCACGAGGGAACAACGAATCGCATACGGGCATGTCAGCAAGCAGCCGTGTTGAGGAAAAATAGTAGGGAGAGAAAGAGAGGGGAGCCACTGAGGGGCAAATCTGCTTGACCGATGGGGGGGTTTTGTTCCTGCTTCGGGCACATTTGCTGCTGTTAGTCGCTGGCCGGTGCGATCTGACCGCCAGATGTTCCTCCAGTCCGGCGATGCTGCGGCGTGGATCATTCCCTCCCGGCACGACAAAAAGAAAGGTATATTCCGTATAGGAGCATCTAGAATCAAGATTCTTTCCGGAAAATGACGAATAAAAGGATGTGAATATCACCATCATTCTGTCATCATGGAGTTAGTTGGTGATATACGGTGATATCCGTTTCTCGCCGGAAGTGGATGGGATGGCTCAGCAGCCAACAGCATCATCGGTGTTTGTAGCGTCGTCAAATGACTAGATGGATGATTGAGATGCTCCATTGGTTTCATGTACGGAGTTATCCATTCGAACCCGGTGGGCGATCCACTTGCTGCGATGGCTGCATGCCACGTCGAACAGGAGACTCCGTCCCCAGCCACCGGGACCACCCGATTGACCTGCCCATCAATACTGTTGCTAGTGCTACTTTGGGAGCGAACAAAGACTCCTCTGACAAATTTTAAGAGCTCAGAGATGTGAGTCAGCGATAGTCAGGATTCCCGTCTCTCATCCGAGAAGGAAGAGAGAAGGAAGACGAGGGAGAGAAGGTTGAGAAGTATGGAGTATAGACAGAGAAAGAGAGAAAAGGGAAAAGTGAGTCAAAAAGTCGGGGAGAGACACTGGCGGGGCCGGCCTCAGGCACAAACCCACTCTTCCCCTCCTCATCATGTGCAGCCCCTCCCTCTCCTTCTGTTCGCTGGGTTTCCCACTTGTTCTGCTTCTTTCCTGCTTCTACGGTCACTCTCGTGCCTCCAGATGATTCCGACCATCCTCATGGTCCGACCGGTTCAAGTCATCCGGCCAATTGGCTAATTGGCACCATCACACAGCGAACGTCACCGGCGCAAGGGCCACCAGCTTCCGTCTGAATTTCCGGGTCTCCAGGGAGCCCCTCCCTATGGCTACGGGCATCTACGGCTGGGTCTACTACTGACAGGTATTCTACTAGATGCTAGTGATCCGATCAGAGGACCATTTAGGATCATCAAAGTCTGTAAGGGAAGACAAAGGGGGGGGAGGAAGTAGGATCGAGTATCTGGGCAGGGGCTGAACGGCGGGTGTCAGACCTCCGTGTCCATGGTTGTGCCTCGATGGTAAATGTATCTGGTGTATTCGTGCTGCTATATAGATAAGATCTCGCATGCGAGACTGCAACAGTGTGTACAACACCCCAGATGGGGCGTTGTAGATTACAGTGATTAGATCACACCCACCTAAGATATTTGGAAGAAAAAAAACCCAGATCCTCGTCGAGGCAATTCGAACCTGCAGAACTCAAAACAGAGGGATCAATCAGAAGAAACTGGGGGCCGGTGGGCCGTGCCGTGACACCCACCCACCGGCGCAGGCCCGCCGAAGCAAAGAGGGCCTGCCAGTTCATCACGGGGTCCAAATAAATGAGGCGATCTTAGTTTCCAGATATCGCATCCAGCAGTCTAGCGGCGACCGCGACGCGAGGCGCAAGAAAACAGACACGAAAACCCATCAAGACGTGCAGAGAACAGCAAGCGATGCAAATACACCCAAGGCAGAGAGAATACGCGAACAACGCGCGGAAGACAAATTTGTCCCCGAGCTAGGACCCGCTGACCGTTTCTCGATCGTACCGTTTCAGATGTATGGGCGCAAGGAAATTCGTCACCTCGTCAAGCTTTGGCCATTCCTGAGAAGCGGGATAGGAGCGTCCGAGGTCCTGCGCTCAGACAATATCCCACACCTCCTCGGCGGCATGGCAGAACTTGCTGCATGCGACACTGGCACTCAAGCTGTAGTTACTGATGGAAATCGTGTCGTCCTTGAAGGAGTCGGCAAAGTCATCGTGTCCCTTGGCCATGGCACCCACGAAGATACAGACGCTCTCCTTGGGGCCCAGCGATTCGATGTAGTCGCGAGTGCGCACCACGGGGGCTTCGAAACTGAGGGTCACCTTGCGGCAGTTGGGGGGGAGGTGGTCGGTGATAGGGTTCTTGATGACCTTCAGGAGCTTCTCCTGGGAGTTGGTGGAACGGATGGAGAGGCGGTGCAGCAGCTGCACCATCAAACCAGCGAATCGCTTGAACGTACGAGGAATGCGCACGCTAGGGTTCACTTCGATCAAGACACCCTTGGCAGTGTGGATGAAGATCTGCAGCTTGCCCGCCTTGTTCACGGGGGAGTCGAGCAGGGTGAGCAGGCACTAATGAGCATTTATCATTAGCAACTAGCCACCAAACCATTGCTGGCTATCCCAGACAGAGCAACTAACCTGATGTGTGATATCCGGGCGAGCCTCACTGATATCCCGGTTCATCTTACGCATGACACCAATGTGCTCATCGCTGTTGAGCAGGGAGTACTTCTCATCACGACCGGAACCATTGCGTCCGCTGGAAGCCCGGTAGGTTTCCAAGCTGGCATGGGAGAGAACGACAATCAGACGCTGGGTCTCCTTGTCATGAGCGGGGATGGGAGTGTGCTGTTCCGCAACGAGCTGGGGCAATTCGGGAGGCGGGCAGGATTGCGTCCCTGCAGGTTCAGTCGAGTCAGCAACCATTGTTGATTGGTGAGATAGCAAAAAAGACAAATCCACGCGGTCGGTTGAAGATTATGAAGCTGAGATGGAGCTGGACACTGGGTGATGCGATAGACAGGGCGTATCACAGAGACAAAAATAGGAAAAATGGTGATTGTGGAAGAGACAAACAACGTAGAAATAATAGCGATGCAGGGATTTATCCCACCAGATGATGGATGATGAGTTTGCGATAGACAAAGAAAGACAGCCGTGAAGAAAAAGTAAGAGAGAAAAAAAAAGGAATGTTGATCTCCCGCGTTGGCGATAAGAAAAATCAGGCGGGGAATAGCACGAGGTTGTCACCGGCTGTACATGAGATGACAGCTAAGGCTGAGCAGTTTGGGGGGGGAAAAGCAGGGAAACGCAGGGAAAAGCAGCGAGCGATTAAAGAGCGAACCGCGGGTTTAAATTGCAATTGGGGGGGAACGTACTGGCACGCTTTCTCTTCCCGGCAACCTGGATAGGATCCGACATGATGCGAATTGATTGATGGGTGATGGTGCAAGATGAGAGAGGAATCCCGAAGCAGAGCTTTTCTCAATCCTTGGAATTATACCTGCAACTATATTCCTCTCTTGGAATGTTGCTGGTTGAGATTAATGGGGAATTGAGACCGCAATGGAGGTTTGGGGAAGTGGGAAAAAAGTAAAGCGAGGAAAAGTACGAGAGGAAAAAAAAAGATGGGAAAACGAAGGCGGCGATGAAGAAGGAGACTAGGCTCAGCGGGAGTTTATAATAAAACGATGGTGTGAGCAGCAAAGCAATAGCTTTTCGATTTTCCTTTTCTTTTTTCCTTTTTCCTTTTTTATAATATTCTTTCTGCCCCCTTCCTTCTTATTCTCTCTGACAGTGTCTCTCACGTTATCGCAATGCAGATTCCCCTCACTTGAAGGGCAGAAGAAGAATGGGCGAAAAATCAAGACCAGAAAAAAGTCCCCGAGAGCGACAGAAGACAGCGGCAGTAGCAGTCAGTAGCAGTAGCAGCGCCGGGGTAATCCATTGGTGGCAGTTTGGGGGCTGGCCGCCCGGCGGAGTTTCGGGATGGAAAAACAATGCAGAAATCTCGTCTTGGTTCCAAACTCTCTTTGCTAGGGTCATTTCCCGGTTCCATACATTTCGGTCCAGCCATTTCAGCAACCCAAGGACAGCTACCTATGATAACTGATAGATATAGTATATGCCTGTAAACAACTCTATTGTAGGTACTGACTTACTGGGATAGTAGTAGTGGAATATGGGAAGGAAATCAGTCCCAGTGGATGAACAAGTTGCAGGATGTGCCCGCCGGGCCATCCATGCATTGATGGATTCCTTCTTTCTCATGGGCTAAAGTCTCAACTACTTAGAACATGGCTTGGTCCAATGACCTGAGATTATCGTGTAATCTCCGATCAGCAATGCATTGGACCGGTGCATTCCTCTTCCTGCCATCATTGGTCTGCTTTGCTTTTCTTCACGCCAGATTCGCATCCGTCAGCCTCGTTAGCTTCCTTCACTCGGGGTTTGAATATGTGATTAGATGAAGAGTGAGTTAACTAGTTAGTGACTCGGGAATAGTAAGTAGTCACCTGCTAACCACCATGGCCTCTCTCTCTCTCTCTCTCTCTCTCTCTCTCTCTCTCTCTCTCGTACTCGGATTAAATAGACGGATCACTGGCTCAGTTCCTGACCTCAAAACCCGTTAACGAGTTAGTTTACTCCTTCAGGAAGTGTCACTAGCTAGCTAACTAACTAGAATGATGGTCTTACTCCGTGTCTTACTCAGATGTAAGACTCATTAGTTAACTAACATTACGGCTCGCAACGCCCTTCCTCCTTTCCCCGTCACCTCCTGAACTCTTCATCAAGCATCTGTCGGATTAACCCCCCCACCATGGCAGTATCTCCGGAATCCGTGCCCATGCCCACCTTTGCAGGGGATACCCTCGTACACAGTACCCTGAAGTGTAACCCTCCCGGTTGCACAGAGGCGTGACTGCCGGGCCACTGTGTGCTCCAAGTAGCCTTTAGAAAAGCCATCATTGTTCTACCGATAACAGCTTGTCGCGTCGGCATCTGGCCAGTTTGTAACAGTACAGTCGTTTGATGGGCCGGTTGTGGTGCCCCGCCTCGGATCTGTCCATCTACATGCGAACTGACTTCATTCTCCTTGATTGGGGGTACGCAGCTGCAGCTGCAGTTGTACTATCTATCTATCTAATCTATTTAGTCATTGAGAGGGATGGAGAAATGCAATTCTCTGTACAGGTTCAAACGACTTGGAAGCAATCAGAGGCGTCGGATCTACCATCTACTGGCAAAACCCCCTCACAGGACGGGAGGCGAAAGGTGACAAGTCTTGCCTTGGATGAGGGACAATGAGGAGATAGAGAAAAAGCAAAATAAGCTACTTAGATGGACGATCTGCGTTCTCATGATCGGTCCTCACGATCGGCATCTTCGATCCGGCTGTCAGTGATTTGCTTTGACTTGGAGTGACTTGCTTTGGGTTGTTGGCTACGTATTTGGCCAGTCTAGGCTGCGATGACATAAAAGACACATCATGTAAGGACAAGAAAAAGACAACCCACCCCCCATGTGGTGTGACAGCTGGCCTGGAGCAGCCCAAGAATGGATCACATAGCCATTTTCAGATAAGGGAAGAGACAAAACAAATCACAGAAACAGAGGAGAGGGGAAGGGATAGAGAGAGGCCACCGATGTGTTAAGTAGATCAAGATCAGCCGGGAGCCCTGTGTAGCCATCACATCCAATCCCGGAACAAAGCTGAGGACCCAAGCTGCAAGTCAATTGCCGGCAAGGCAGTGCCAGAACATGGCTGTGGCCCAGTAAGGCATCGGTGTTGGTTAGTTTGTTCAGCAAGGGCGAGGTTGGGGGAGCGATAAGAACCAGATAGAAAAAGAAAAAGAGTAAGAGAAAGACTGAGAACGGCGCTTGTTTCCAGTCGATCTGGTGGGATTTGCCTCACACCATTAGTAGGGTTGTTAACGATGGATGGATGGATGGATGGATTGTTGTGTTTACGGAGTACGGAGCCACTCATCAAATACTACTAGTATACTATGTGGAGTGACAGAAGAGACGAACGGGGAGATGCACGAATGGGAAAATGGGATGAATCAAATTTAATTTTATTTAATCGTGTATATCATCACCAGGAGAGGGAAGATGGAAGTGACGAGGCTGGCCACCTCAGCTGCCACCGACTTGTTCATACATACGGGGAAGAGTCCACTTACTCAGGAGTGGTGTTGCACCACAGAGTCTGGTTGGTTGGGGGCTCATGATATAAGGAGGCGAAGTACGGGACGGCAGAATGAGTCGATGGGCACAGCATCGACCTGGGAACTTTACTCATAAAGTAAGCTCATTCTCTCGTTCGTCCAGTAACAGCTAGGGCGTTTGTGATTTGAATCTTTTCATCTGCTTCAAATTTCTTTGGCTGTTAGTGAGTGTGGGTGTTCCACACGTATCACCTTGTTCAAGTACTTTTCACTAGTATTCGGAGGTGGTTGGTGGTTCTGAATGAATGAACATTCATTCATGACTCTGTTGTTGTTGCATCCTGCGGACACGACGCCACCGTGGGTTATTTTCATCATTGTTAGTTATATAGCTGGGATGTGGGGGGAGCAGCATCATCATCAGCTTAGAGCTTGCTGATACACGGGAATATCAAATTATTATATAAAGGAAAAAAAAAAAAAAAAAAAAAAAAAAAAAAAAAAAAAAAAAAAAAAAAAAAAAGGGAATAAATATCAGCTGCTGCCTCTGCTGATTCACACTCTCATCTGTGTCATCATCATTCATCAGCTGGTGAGTAACTATCTATATAAAGGGTAGAAATCGAAAAGGCAGCAATATGACTGAATGTGGTTTAGACCAGTGATTCTCACGCGTTTCCCGTCGATCGGCGACCGCCAAATCCGCCCTTCCCAATCCATAATAATTTCCTGGCATTCCGTCAGGCAGCTCATTCCACTGCATCATCGATCGGCTCTCCCTGCTTCTCTCGATTTCTTCTTCCTCCTACTTTCTCCTTCCTACCTCCTTCTCTTCCATCTAGAATTACGACCTCTGCCATAAATGTTTTACCTCGCTTGAATGCCTCTGGTACATCAGAAAGGGAGATGCCGTGGACTGTGACAAACTCATTCAAGCGGTACGTTGTTGAAATCATGCCCCTGCTCCTTAATTCCCTTATCCCTTGGTTGCCGCCACTCCCAACTAACACACTCCCCTCTTGATTCCCCCCACGCAGAGGTCTCATGATGAAAACTTACGGACGGCCACTTTGGCGCGTCTACGACGATGACCAACGGCCTGCCGCCAAAAAACGACGCGTTCAATCCGGCAATGATTCCGACGAAGCCGAAAATAGCATCCAATATGCCATCCGCGAGTCTTCCGCCGCCATCATGTCCAGTCCGTCGCGTCGCAATTCTATTCTTCTCTCCGAAGGCACGCAGGAAGATGATCTCTCGACACCCCCATCTTCTCCCCCACCGCGATTAAGCCCCCCTCCCGCCAACACGCGGAAACCCACGTTTGCCTTCCTGAAGCGTAAACAGTCCGCCACCAAGGATGCCAGCAATGGTACCCCCGTTACGAATGGCACTACCACCAACGGCACCACCAATGGCACCCCACTCACCGAGGTCAACTCTAACAGCGTGCGCGCCTCGGTGGATCCGCCCAAGAAGAAAGCGCCACAGCCGCAGCAGCAGCCGCCGGTCTTGAAGCAGATGCAGATCGACCTGGGCCACGAAGTACGGAGGACGTGTGCAACTTGTGGCATGGAGTACGTGCCGTCGAACACGGAGGATGCGGCATTGCATAAGAAGTTTCACGATATGAACTCCACAGGGGTAGATCTGGGGAAGGCCTTCATGCGGGCCAACGCATCACGCTGGGTCTACGAAGCTACACGGTTTGACGAGGGATATGTGGTCATTGTGGATCGCAAGGCATCTCCGACCGCGAAGAACCAAGCGAAGAAGGTGCTGGAGGTCATTTGCAAGGAGCTGTCGTCCCCGACGATCGAGGACGAGGTTCTGTGGAGTCAAACGGAAGCGCCCAAGCATCTGCAACAGAACGGAGTACCCGAGAAAGTGGACCGGTACAAGGTGTTTTTGCACATGAAGGACAGTCGATGTGTAGGGGCATGCTTGACGGAGCGGATTTGGGAGTCACGGCCGGTCAAGAAATCGGCCGTTTCGGGCAATGGACCGGACTCGTCGGTCACGGTGGGAGAGGAAAGGCATCCGGCTATTGTGGGCATTTCACGCATATGGACATCAGGCTCCTCACGCCGGAAAGGCATTGCCATGGACCTGTTAGACTGCGTGGTGAGCAACTTCATCTACGGGATGGAAATTCCCAAGGAGCAGGTGGCGTTCAGCCAACCGACCGAGAGTGGCAAGGGGCTGGCGCAGTCATTCTTCGGCAACGAAGAGTGGCATGTTTACGAGGAAAGCTAAGACGACGACGATAGACTACGGAAAGAAACAAGAGATTGCATTTGATTTCTTTTTGCATGGTTAGGACTGAAAGGGGGAGGGGGAAGACCGACGGGCGGACATTGTTTTCGTGATACACGGGCGAGTTGATACCCAGGCTTTCTCGGGCATTGACCTTCGAGGGAGGGCTTACTCTTGTGACGACCATTTGTGATTGCACGCGTTCATTCGATGTTTTTCCTTTTTTATCGTTCTCATTTCTTTGACTGACTGTATAACTGGAAGAGGTGTTTTATTGGGAGGGTCCGTCGGGTTCCGCGTGGCTTGGTATATTCTTCGACTACCGATCTACCGTTCTTCACTGTACCATATATATCCTTATTTCTTCTTTTTGTTTTTTTTTCATTTCTTACCCCCGATATTATTATCCTCTTTTTCTTCATTGATCTATCCATGTTCTCTTTTGTTTTCAATATGTGAGTGTGAGAGTGACCGTGAATATGAGGAGTGAAGAGAGGGCGAATACGACCCAGGCAGAATGCAGCATGTGAGAACTACTATTTACCGACATATACTATACTATGTATGCACATCTAGTAGTTCATAGTAGTTTATGAACCTTGTAGTGGAAGCCGCGGAACCTTGAAAGTAAAAGCCAAAGGGAACTAAACTAGGACTAAGCAGTAGTAACTAGTTAACGTTAACTAAATACATACTAAAAGTAAGGTTGTGGCCGAGAGTCTCTCTTTCTCCAGTTGTTGACTTGCTTGTCTTCCGCTACTTACCCTCTCCGTCCCTCTATCCTTTCTTCCATTCCTCCCCTTCCTCCCCTTCTCTTCCATCAATCCTCCCCTCCTTTTCCTTGCTTCCATGGTCAGTGCTGCCCTTCTCCTCCGCGATGTCTGGATTAAATCCTTTCCGCCCTAAGAAGCCCGAAAGTGAGTCCGTCCGGCGGTTCCGGTTCCTGCGCACCGTTCGTCGCGTGCTGGTCGGGACGAGATGGACGGAGCTGTCCCTGACCCATGATGCTGACCTTCTCCATCCCAGATACCACCTTCGCTGCTCCTACTCCTGCTCCTGCTCCGGCACCCTCTCTGCCTCAGTCTCTGCCTCAGCCCTCCTTCACCTTGTATCCCTCGAAACCTGCTCCCTCCGTGACCTTCCCTTCCACCTCGTTCCGCTCTGTCCCTCGAACCCCTCCCGCATCCTTGACCCCGGATCCCGACGATACGGCCTCCTCCGATGACCAGTCTACTTCGGACCCCTTCCACCAGCAGTCGTATGCGACCGATGACGATGGAGAGGCGGAGGAAGAGGAGGACATTGATGAATTAGATTCCAAACGCACCTACCAGGTCGCTCACCTACCTTCCCGGGACGATGATCGCCCCCTGCCATCGACCAGGACCGTTCCAGACCCAGCCTTATCCTCCAGGAGATCCGCGCCGCCCGCAGCCATTACTCTCCCAGCGCAGAGGAGCACCCATGATCGTCCAGTAGACCCGGAACAGGCTGGCACGCCTCGCGAGAATGCGCCCGTAGCTGGTTCGAATGTGTCGACGCGTTCATCCACGTCTTACGGAGGCACCCGGACGCCCGACAGCAGCAGCTCCACGGATGTATCTCGACCGTCCGACCTGCGTACCGGTCCAGCTACTCGAGTAGCTGGGTCGGGCTTGACCCCATCATTAGATCCTAGTTCACGTCCTCTTGCCAGCCGTCCAGGTAACAGGGACCGGATACCTCCGCCTCCGCCCAAGAGTCATCATGGGAAACGGATCGCCCCTAGCCCTGGTATCACACCCTCCTTCGCCCAAACTACCCCTGGCAAGACGACCAACCGCTTCTCTTTCCATGGCTCCCCATCTGAGCCATCATACTCCCCCCGACCCTCCCAATCAGGGTCCGACTACTTCTCCGCAAAGCCGAAAGATGAGCCGCGGTCGACTGAGCAGTCGGCGGAGTCCCTTCGGCGGAGTCAATCGCAGCATAAGCGACCGCCAACTCCACCGCTAAGCCGACGACATAGCCAGATGAGACGGTCGAAGACCACAATGTCCAAAGTCAACCCGTTGCGGTTATCCATTCATGTGGCACAGGACTCAAGCGCGGCATCATCGTCATCATCTCCGCCGCCCAGTCCAGGCGGCTGGTCTCTGAAACCATCACGAACTCGAGAGTCTCGCGCGGGCAGTAATCCGTCCGAGGAGCCCATGCATACTGCGACCTCAACCCTGCGCCCGGAACCCTCGGCAGCCGCACCAGTGTCGCCCACAGAAATCTCACATTCGACGTCAGGAGGATCGTCGACGAAGCGGACTTCGCTTTACAACCCTCTTCCCCCACCTCCGCCTCCGCGACGCTCTCGCGGATCCAGCAACCACAGCATTGACAGCACTGGTCAGAGTCTCCGATCGGGCAGACCAGCCGACGAGACAACAGCGGCACCAACAGCGCCAGTAACACAGGACGAATTCGTCCCACATCCATCAAACGCGCATGACATTCTGGCCGATTTGACCCGGTTACAGAAAGAAGTAGACGATTTGCGCGGGCATTACGAGAGCCGAAAGCCCAGCCAATAGGCTCAGCCCAGTATGGGGCTTGGCTTGGCTTTGTTCCTATCATTATCTCACTTATGTTCTGCAGCAAGAGCGAATGAGCCCCAAGGTAGGCATAGGTATCGTAGGGAGTGAGAGTGACTGAAAGAGTGTACATGGGCACGTGAACGTGAACGAGTGATGAAGCATAGCGCTTGGTTTGTTATGTGGTATCCCTTCCTTTCTTGAGTATAGTATATGTTTCTGTTGGGTCAGTGAGGTATGCAAACTATGCATGTGTTGTATTATTCTTAATTCAATCTCGAGAGACTTTGGTCAACTCCTTTTGGGCCGGATTGGGTCCGTGTGGTTGGTGGCCATAACCACCAGACAAGAAGCTTGACTGCAGACTTGCACAAAGTATCCATAGTTAGCACGTACTACTACTTAAGCTGGTAGCAGTGCTCTCCAGCGCAAACTATTCAGTTGTTCATGAAAGGTATGCATGTATTGGATATGGTTGATCAATGAATCAATCACTGAGTTGGAGTCCAACGGCCCCAAACAAAATTCTAGTAAATGGTATAAACACATCTCTAGTACCTATGTATATGATACAAATATAGTCACACGACCAGTTCGCTAGTTTCGACTTACAATTTATATTTTTAAACAGTCACGAGGACTATTAGTACTACATCTACTGAGTACTAGTAGTATGACACCCTCAATTCCCTTCTCTATATATCGAGAGAGAGAGAGAGAGAAGTTGAGCATGCTATCCCCTCACAGGAGGATAATATACTGGATCAATTTGACTACTCAAAAAACAAGATTGGGAATGGGTTACTCTACCACTCTATTTCTCTGTCCATTTCTCAACATGATAAATCACCACCACGGTATCAAAAACCGCAAAACCCTCTAGAAAGATTCAACAAGGAAAAGAAAAAAAAAGGTACGTATATATATGAAGGTATCATCCCAAATACAACTCCAACGGCAAATCATGATACATCTGATAATCCAACTCCACACTCCATTCCAGAACAAAGAACTTGACTAGCGCCACAACAGCCATGGAACTTAACTCTCCCCTCTCTCCACCTACTTCTTCCACTTGCTGGTGAGGAACCCTCCAGAACATGGTCTCATCGAATGATACTATACTATCTGACCCATCACCAGTCCTTCTTCTCCGCCCCTCATACCACACTGCCGCTATATCCGTGACGATGCGCACTGCGTCCCCGGAATTGCCGTTCCCGGCTAACACGGCACCCGCGGCTAGGTCGGCCATGCTGCCATTGTGGACGAACTGGGCGTCCCAGCCGCGGGCGATGAGCCGGTCTGCGTGCGTGGAGACGGTGGTGCGGAGGGTATGGGCGACTTGGGCGCGGTAGTGGTTCATGCGAGGTTTGGCGAAGGCGAGAAGGATGTCGCGGAGGCCGCGGTGGATGGACCATGAGAGGGAGGACCAGGGGAGGTAGTCGAGGCAGGTGTTGAGGATGGTGGCTTCGAGGGGTGGGATGTGTAGGGTTACGGAGTGGGTGGTGGTGGTAGTGGATTGGTGGCGGGGGTTGGATTCGGTACTGGGGAGGGACAGAGTGGTGAAACTGGATTCTAGCTCTGGTATGTCGTAGTCATTATTGTCCTCAGTGACAGGCTTCATCAATAGAAGATCGACTTCATTGACGTTGCCTCCAATCATGTTGTAGAGGTGTCTGCTGCCATGGGCGCCGCCAAAGCCTCGCACGATGTGTTCGAGAACCCATCTGCCCGATGTTTTGCGGCCGGGGAAGGCGCATTTGAATGGTGCAGAGGACGCGAGGCTTTCGATGACACCGGCTAGCTTGCGCAGGTAACGGCCGACACGGACTTCAAAGGTCGGAGGGTAGACGTCTTTGTTCAGAGTGTGCGAATCGTAGGCCGCGAAGTGGACGTGTGCGGCGTCGCCAATGGGCCATTCGACGTACCATTGTCCGCAGTAGGAGGCGTATGCGGCTCGATGGCCAGATGCGCCGCTGTGTCGAAACACTGGTCGAGCATTGGTTACGGTAAATAGAGCCATGAGGGTTGCGCGAGAGATGACCGTGCAACTAGCTTGTGCTTGGTTAGAGGGCCTCGAGGGAGGCTATCCCAGGTTGGCAGCTGGACTGGCGGTTCTCCCGAGATGGTCACGACGTGCTCCGTCTTGACGGGGCTTTCGGTAGAGACTAGCGAGCCGGTCTGGGAGGGCTGAAGGCGGATGATTGACGTTGAGCAGGTTAGACAATGCAGCCTTACCTGTTGGCTGCGCGAGTGGCCGCCGACTGACATGGACAATCTCTCTGCCACAGAGCCCGCATGGCAGATTGGCGTTGATTACAGGCCCGACAGGAGGGGGCTTCACGACTCTATACCATGGTACATGTGGCTGCCAGAACCGCCAGCGGCCCAGGTGTTGTATATCTCGCAGGGTGTGGAAGGGGTCAGTCTGATCGATGATCGTCCCGAATTGGGTGACAATGGAGCCCAGCCCTACCACCGTAACGGCGAGAGAGAGCCAGGTAGCCACTGTTGACGAGACATCCATTCGGAGGCTAAACGCAGCAAGCAGCCGAGCGATGATACTCTTGACTGACATCGAAGGCGAGCTCATGATCTCTGGAGGGGCCTGGGATAAGTATGTTTGAGGGGATGGTGAAGGGTTGCTGTGCTAATGCATCTGAGCGTCTCGGCCGCCAACCATCGACCGCCGTCGTCGCAGGATCCGAGTGGATTCCGGCTGAGAACACCATCGATGTTCATCTCCGCAAATAGAATGCATGCTGATTGCGCTTGGATTCCCTTCACAAGGCTTTCCAGCGTCTTGCATGATCGCAATGATAAAACGATGTGATTCAGCTCCTCCAGCTTTGAGTGCCGCTACGATGCTGCCAAAACCAGTGTGTTGGCAGGCACATGAAGGCCTTGAGTGGCTTCTGAGAATGAAAGATGTCGAGTACCAAGATCTATGTAATTTCTAGTCCCAAGTGAGGTCCCGAGATTGTGCGGTGGCCATCATGCGTTCTACTTTCTCCTAGACTGCTCGTGGAGCCCCATTGTCAGGCAAGCTGCAAGAATGGCAGCACATCCTCCAAGTCTCATGACCCAGCTTGTGCTGGTATCCCAAGGCTGTCCCCGTGGCTTCTGCAGTGCCTTGAAGATGAGGCTGCCTATCGCACTGGAAATGATCTGGGGGAAAGAAATAGCGACATTATGTAAACCAAGGACGACACCAGCTTGATTTACTGATTTTTCTTCCGTCCTTCTTGGTTCGTCAGATTCCTGAACATATGGCAGAATACTTGCTCCTTCTACTTCACCGGATCTCTCTCGACGATGTGCTGGACGTCCGGGGTCCTCTTGAGCGATCTCAGACGCGATAAGGGCATATGGCACCCATGCTGTGACAGCCCAGGCAATACCGATTATTCCAGTCATCACCGACGCCTGCCCCGGGGAGGAAACAAAGAACGTGCTGAACATGCAGATGGCAAATAGGCAATGAGAGAGGAGCCATGCACGGCGTAGTGACAAACCAGGGATCCTTAACTTCAAGCGAAAGCTGCTTGAACTAGTGTTCGCTTCGGCTGCCATTTGCCTCTCTGAAGGAACCACCAGCATTGGCAGGATGATACTCGCTGCAAAGGACACTAGTGCATTCACAAGCATCGCTAAAGTACCAATGCGTGTAGCATCCTCCCATACCTTGTTGATCTCATCATCCGATAGATCTTGATGCTTTTCAAAGATAGGGTTCACATACAACTGCCCTATGTAAGTGGTGGCGTAGAACAAGAACGAAAACCACCCAAACCATGCTGCAGCCTGAATGATGTAGACCTGGCGAATGCGCAAAGGAAGGCGATGAACTGATTCTTTAATGGACTGAAGCAATGATACAAACCCTAGACTGGCAGGTGAAGACGGCTCCATACGCGGATCCTTTTCCTTGATATAAGCGCAGCTGATGGATAGAGTGATTGCTAGTGAGACGCTAGCAATTATGCTGATCCCTTTAAATTGTGTATTTGCGAGAAATGGAATAATCTTCGGCAGATTCAAACCGCCAATGATGAAGCCGAAGATGTTCCCTGCGCTGACATGACGGCTTGCCCAGGCATTTGCCGCTTCCTGCTGATGAGCCGGGGCATTATCGACGATGAAAGCCCGGGTGGCTGCTTGAACTGTGACAGGGCGTCAGAATTATGTTACAGGAGAGCCAAGATAGAGTGAATATCATACCAGTGTTGATGGCAAAGTCTTGGCAGTACATTAAAAGCGTTGCAGCCACGATGACTGCAGTTTTGGCTTCACCAGCCTGGGCATCAAGGCCAAACAAACCAAATAGGCCGCCGACTAGTTCCCGCACCCACGCCAGAGCTAGCAGGCAGATAGTCAAAAGTACGCCACCGAATACCATGAACGGCTTTCGCTTGCCCCAGGAGATGCGGCAATTGTCACTTCGGATGCCAATGTAAGGCTGCACTAGAGTGCCTGTAAGGGGCCCTGCAATCCAGACAAAAGCAAGCAGCGCTTTGCTCATTCCTAAAGATAACAGATACGGCTATAGAATAAGCGATGTCGAAATTAGCTACTGTACTTGCCTGATTCCTCGAGGTTCACAACTTACTGATCCACTGGAATGCTGGATCGAATAGACAATTTGCAGACTAGGAAACGGGTTAATAAAGACAATAGAGCAAAGAATTGCCATTAAGTACTCACCCTCCCATGGCTAGGGTCAATATGAAGAGGTATGCGCTGCTCTTTCCGGCCTCGTCAGGGGAAGCACCTGGCGGTATATGCGAGTCTGGCGGCACCCATCCATCGCGGATGAGAGGTTCCGCCTCGTTGCTGCGCTCCGTCATGAGGGCAGGAGATCGGGCATTTATCAGTCTCTTTGCTAGCAGTAGAAGGACTATTCAACTCCAAAACAGATGGAAACTAATAGGAATGATATCTGAGAAAGTAAACTCGATAAAAGGAGGTTGTTTACTTTCTCCGGGCTCGGGGCGGAGTAAAGTAAAGTTGAAGTAGAGCCATTAATATCCCCAGGCATCAAGAGGATTCCATGGACGGGACTGACCGCCTGAGCCCGAATAGGCAAAGATCTGTTGCAGATACCATAACTAGTAATATTTACATGCAGCAAATAGGCTGGTTTCATGATTAATATTAGATCGAATAGTGAGTTATTGGGAAATGTGTCTTCTGTTTGTGGAGCATGCTTAATGAATGTTAGTAAGCAAGATTATGCTGTAATTGCTTTTGTCCGGAGAGTACTGTACTGTAATGAGTAGTATATCAAGCAGGCTAATTTGGATGTGTTTGATAAGAACCGTAAGTAGTAAAACAGTGGAGAGTTATCGTATCCATGTAAGATGCTAGTTTTGACTTTCTCATTTCTCGTTAGAACACCTTCAGCCGCGGGCCCACTCTTTCGATAGCAGGGGAATATATATCTAGATAATAATATCTATCTACTATGCAGTACTTAATTTTGATATCTAAAGCTTCGAGATTTTTCCATGTCCGATCCCTGACTAATGGTGTCATCGAGATAAGGATGGTGAATATCACTAAGACGAAGCCGGTTAGGCTTCCGTGATGATTGAGAGGTTCCCGATGACCCGAAGTCATCAACCGCGTCCTCAATCCCCACGTCCCTCGCTCCTTCCCCTCTTCTGACTTCTTGCTGTTCAGTGCGTGACAAAGTCGTCTCCGGAGCTGCAAGCGCAAGTATCAGTTCGCCATAAGTAAACCCAGGCGGCTGTCCAGCGTGAATCCCCTTGTTGCAAAACTCTCATTCGGCGACTCGGTTCTAAAGCATCTATATTCTTCCGGCCATGGCCCACAATACCAGTGCCCCCCGCATAACCGATGCGACGAAAGGTACTGTCCACAACCATGGCATTAGAAGTCTTCGAGAGAACTCATAGCTAACATATCGCAGTATGGACAACTCTAATTACAAACACTGCCTACCTCTCGGGGCTACTGACCCTGGAGTACTCCCTCCGTAAAGTGGGCTCGAAATATCCGCTGATTGCTCTCTACACGGACTCCTTCCCAGCGGAAGGTCATGCTGCTCTTGATGCCCGTGGAATCTTGAAGCAGCGTGTCCCTTATCTGCTGCCCTCAGTTCCCAAGGACTACGTCAATGATGTGCGGTTTTATGACTGCTGGAGCAAACTCACGCCCTTCTCTCTTGTGGAGTATGAGCGCGTTGTGCAGCTGGACAGTGACATGATGATTCTCCGCAACATGGATGAGTTAATGGAGCTCGAGCTAGACCCTCCAGCCCTGGCTGGGGCAGGGAATCGTGTTTTTGCCGCCAGTCATGCTTGTGTCTGTAACCCGCTGCAGAAGCCGCACTACCCTCCTGACTGGTATGGACTATCCGTCTTCCATTCCCGAGTCCTACGAGGACACAGCTTATCCGACAAGTTGACAAAGACTAATGCACCATTGTCCAGGATTCCATCCAATTGCGCATACACATCCCAGCATGCCACCCCGGATGTCGCGCAAACAGAGGGCGCATCACCCACGGCCGGGCTGGGTATCCCCAACGGCGGTCTCCAGGTAGTCAATCCGTCCCACGAAGTCTATGATAAGATTCTGGCGCAGCTGTCCTCATCTGCGACCACCAACTATGAATTTGCCGATCAATCCCTGCTATCAGATGTGTTCTTTGGGCGATGGGTGGCGCTGCCATACATTTACAATGCGCTCAAAACCATGCGGTGGGAGGGGATTCATGATGCGATCTGGCGAGACGAGAACGTCAAGAATATGCACTACTTGCTCAACCCCAAACCGTGGGATGAGAGCGAGGCTGTCCGGTCGGGTCGCGAACCTCGCTCAAGCCGGGAAGCGCCACACAGCTGGTGGTGGGACATTACGGAGGAGAGAGTGAAGGAGGAAAAGGCCAGAGGGGTGGATGACAACTTCTAATTTTTTTTTTTTTTCATCTTATTTTTCAACTTATGTTTATGTTCCCCTTCTCGAACAAGTGAATGCCGCAGCGCTATCACAGTACATTAGACCTGTCACCATACGAAACCAATGCCACAATAATCGAGTCATTCTTCGAGGGTCCAGATGGAACGGGAATGCAAGTATGGCGTACATTCATTCCAGGTTGGGGTGAGAAAGGTGTAGTGGGAGGCTGCATTCGGAACCCGACCATTCAGGCTCCCAGGTGTCGATCCCCGCGCCCGATGTTGATTGGGTGGTGAAGTGCCAGCGGCGGGGATGACGTCAGGGGCTGCCGGAGAAGACGCTAAACTAGTTTGGGGCCATGGCAGAGAGAGCCCGGGAGCCGAGTTCAAGCATTCATCATAGTACTACAGAGTACTGGACTAGTCACAATCACCTCCAGGGGAAAATGCCCCCTCCGAAACCGCGGGGAACTGGCGATGGCTTTCCGAAACATCCACTAGAAGACGCCTGGAATGGACCTGCATTGAGGCTGGGAGATAGTATCTATTCCAAGAAAAGAAACAAAAAAAGAAAGAAGGCGAATCTGCTTCAGATTGAAGGTTTGAATGAATGGTGCTGGCCCACCGACAGCCTCACTTTCATCACTGACCCGTTCGTTCATTCATTTACTTCCCTCCTACTAACCAACTACTACTGCCACTACTTCTACTACTACTTACCCTCCTGTTACTATTTAGTCCACAGTACTACTACTACCACTACTACTACCACCAAGCTGGCTTTGGACCCTCCACACCCAAACTTTAAAAACCCCATTGCGATCTCCCAACTCTTACCACGGATCCCGCCCGTCTCTTATTGTTACGCGACTTGGTTCATCATAAGTAGACCAGCCAATTCACTGCCCCGCAGATCCATCCGTTTCTTCTCTCAAACCATCTTGTTATTTGCTTCCCTAGTCTTTCGCATCCAGATTGACACCCTTACCGCTGCATCTCCTTGACGGACCACACCCTCATTATATCGCGCCATCTTCCTCTATCGTTTATTGCATTTCACATTGGGCAGACGTCCCTACCGTTTGTGAATATTCCACTTCAACCGAGCTTTATCAGTCCAAAAGATGACTACTCCGACTCTGATCAATCTCCCTCCCCCGCCATCGGACCCAGTGACTCCATCGGACATGGGGCCGTAAGTTCCCCAGCTTCTTCAAGCTTTCATTCTGATTGTGTCATGCGGCTTTTCGTCTTTTTCTTCATTTCTTTAGTACCATTATCAGATCAAGCTGACAAGAACTTTGCGACGCACTAGAGGGACCCCGAACTCCGGCACGACTTCGTTGTCGGCCTTGTCTACAACCGCCATTAAAGATGGCCATCAGGGTCAGCCTCTTCCCCACGGTCGTCACGCCCACCACTCCCATTCTGCATCTGCTACATCCACCACCACGCTGGAAGCAGAACGCGCCGACCGTATCTCGCGTCTAGCAGGCCTGGAACGAGTGGCCACGGCTCGAGCGGGTGGCACTCCACAGCCCTCGGGCATGATGGCAGGGACTCAATACCCCGGCTACTTTGACAGTGGCTCTGGGATCAAAGAAAGAAGTACAGTAGGTAGTGCCAGTGCGACAGGCAGCGTGGGCGCCCGCACGACCTGGGCCAGTGGCAGTGATGCGTTCGATGCAGACCGAATGAGCGAGTACCCGGAGGACGGGACGTCCAGTGTAGGCAACTACAGCGATGAAGGCGACGCTAGCCTGGTGGCATTCGGCGAAGGTGCCAGTACCATTAGTGGACCGACTTCACATCCGCTGCTGAACCGAACATCATCGGGACATCGACCTAGCTCGTTGGGCAGCCCTGGAGTGAGCCGTGCGAGCGCATTCGCATCCCACCATCAGCAACACTCTGGGGAAGGCGCGATGCTGCTGTCGACCCAGTCGCCGACCGGATCCGTGACACCAGAACCTACACAAGATGCGCGGATGGTCGATGGGATGACGTTTGACTCGGATGTGATTGACACCACGGTGAGGACCCCGCGATTGGCCACTCCCGCTCATGGTGGCGAGCAGCCGACTTTTTGAGTTACTAGTTTGCTTTCTTTTGTAAGTGGAAAGGGAGACAGACAAACAGACAGATCGATGGCAATAAGGTCGGGTTATCGAAAAGATAGGTTTACGGGCGTTGCTGCCAAGTATTTTCAAGCTTCAGTTAAGTTCAAGGGTTTTTGGCATTGTAATTGTACGGGAAAAGAATGGGACATGTTTTTTGCTGGGGAGGGGGGTAAGGAGATAAGATCATTATTGGCGAGGGAGGCTTTTGTGGGCTCTGGTCATTTAGTTTACATGGTTCTCTAGGACAAGAGAGAGAGAGAGAGAGAGAGAGAGGGAGGGAGGGAGGGATAAGTCGGGATATCAGTGAATATTTACCTGTAGAATAGTTAGCTAGTAGCGAGTCATTTGTTTTTAATTATTTATTGATTTATTGATTTTTTCCTTTCAGATTACTTTGTGAAGCAATTGAAAAGGCCCGCCAGCCAGTCTTGACGAAACTACGACGATGTTAAGTTAATTGGGATTAGATTAATCTAAGCATTACGGGTCCAACGAGGAGGATCTCCATCCCGACCGGAGCAGGACCAGATTGACTCCATCAGGCGAATCGGGGCGAATCTTCTTTTCCTTCACAATTGCCAAAAGTCTAGACTCCCGGGATCTCTGTTACTTGTTGACCCTCTGGCAGTGCTTCCCACGTATGGCAGGACGCATAGTAGTCATCTTGTTAATCTGGAAAGTAAATACCCAGTCACTGCACGTAGTAACAAATTAAGAAAAAGTACTAAGTACAGTTAGTTGGGGGAAAAGAATAAATGGAGGCGAAAAACGAGCAACAATTCAACTGGAACTTGGTGAACTGGGGCCGAGATCGCCCAATGGGGAGGGGGGATTCCATCGCGGGTCCCCCTTCAGCCTTTCACTCCCTCAGTCTGGCTTCTCTCTCTCTCGGCGCCTCTTCTTCCTCTTCCTCTTCTCTCTCTCTCTCTCTTCTCTCTTCCTCTTGTCACCTTCCCCACCCCCTTCCAACTTCCTTTTCCCCCTCCTCCTCCCTCCAACCCCGACTGTCTTCCTGTCCCTGTCATTGCTGGCATTGACTTGTCAAGCATCGAGAATTCCCCCTTTGGAACCGGAGACTCGTACTGAGGTATTCGTTCAATCCCGCCAAGCTTCGCTGCCATCCACTTTTGAGTCTTTGTGTGTGTTTGTGTGTTTCGCGGCACTCCAGACCACAACTTCTCGCCACGCTTTCAACCTCCCAACGGCCAATATCTTACACCTCGTCCACTCTCGATCTATCCTTTCGTCTTCGTTATCTCTACCCCCCGGTAGTAAAATTTCCGTTCAGTCTTCCCGCTGGAACACTTCCGAAGACTATCCGTGCAATTTTTCTGCTGTCCTGTTACACACTACCTAAGTGGCGGGGAACGTTTCTCTTCTTCTACCACTAAGATCCTGGGTTTTGTGATATTCCCTGGTCCGTCGCATTAGCATCGTCTGCGCGCGCGCCTTTAGCTGCTCCCGTGGCTTTTGTGAATACGTGTTTTGTCCCACCAGAGTGAAACGTTGAGAGACATTTCGAAATGGCAGCTCCCACTCAGCTTGCTTGTGAGTCTACCTACAATTTTATTACTCTTCCCATCCTATAAATGAGGACTCTCGAAAAAGAAAACATCGCTTTACTTTCTCGGGGAATTTTTTTTCTCCCGTTCAAGGGCAACTCTAACTAGCTACAGACCGTACGGTCAAGGGCGTTGGCATCTTGGATGCGGCCCCAGTTTATGAACCTTTGTCGGGGTTCGAAAGGTATGTAACGTCTAACTCGTTCGATCTTTCTACTCCGAATAGCTTGCTAATCTTCTGATTTTCTGTTTGCAGACCCGAAGGAAACCTTCGCTGTAGCGCTTACTCTCCCTGCGGCCGGTATTTCGCATGGGCATCCCCAGAGAAGTACGTCAACCGACTCTCACTCAAACCGATAAAGGAGGAAAGGAAACTTACAAGTTGCTTACTAGGGTTACCATCGTCGATCCCTCTGTCGGACATGTGGTCTCGACCATCGCTGCTGATAACGTTTTCGAGCTGGGATTCTCGCCCCTCGGAACCTACCTGATCACCTGGCAACGCTCTTCCAAGGATGCCAACGGCGATGCGGTCAAGAACCTGAAGGTCTGGCAGGTCGTGCAGTCGTCCGAGAACGGCGATGTGGACACGCCTGTGGGCAAGTTCGTCCAGAAGTCGCAGACGGGCTGGAACCTTCAATACACCTCCGACGAGCGTTACTGTGCCCGGGTCGTTACCAACGAAGTCCAGTTCTACCAGAGCGAGAACCTGTCTCAGGTCTGGAACAAGTTGCGTGTGGAGGGGGTTGCGGACTTTGCGGTCGCTCCTGGCAAGAACCACTCTGTGGCCGTCTTCATTCCTGAGCGCAAGGTACGTATGGTGCACTTGTTTTACAATCCCGATGAGAGTTTTATTATTCCAGAGCTAATACATAGCTGCTTAGGGACAACCCGCTGCTGTCAAGGTCTTTTTGGTGCCTCAGTTTGGAGCCCCCGTCTCGCAGAAGACCTTCTTCAAGGGCGACAAGGTCCAGCTGAAGTGGAACGAGCAGGGTACCACCCTGATCGTGCTCGCGCAGACGGACGTGGATCGGTCGGGCAAGAGTTACTATGGCGAGACCACTCTCTACCTGCTCAGTGCTGGTGGTGGCTTCGACTCTCGTGTGGACTTGGATAAGGAGGGACCTATTCACGATGTGACCTGGTCTCCCAACTCCAAGGAGTTCGGTGTGGTGTACGGCTACATGCCCGCGAAGACCACCATCTTCAACTTCCGTGGTGTGCCCAAGCACACCTTCGCTCTGGCCCCTCGGAACACCATCCTCTTCTCGCCCCACGGACGATTCGTACTGGTGGCTGGTTTCGGTAACTTGGCCGGTCAGATGGACATCTACGACATGGACAAGAACTTCCACAAGATCGCCACCGTCGAAGCCTCCAACGCCAGTGTCTGCAACTGGTCCCCCGACGGTCAGTATATCCTGACGGCCACCACCAGCCCTCGCCTCAGAGTCGACAATGGCATCCGTATCTGGCATGTCAGCGGTGCTTTGATGTACAACGAGGACATGAACGAGCTCTACGATGTGTGCTGGCGCCCCCAGTCGCTGATCCAGCACCCCCTCGGCGATCCGTTCAGCCCGCTTCCGACCCCCCACCCCTCCGCCGTGGCGTACCTGAGCACCAAGAAGGCTCCGGTCAAGCCGGCCGGTGCGTACCGGCCTCCCGGTGCCCGCGGCCAGCTCACTCCTCTCGCCTTCAAGCGTGAGGATCAGGGCGGCGCGGTCTTTGTCCGGGATGGTGCCAGCGGCGGTGCCACCGTTCACACCACGAACGGATTTGGCCGGACGCGCAGACGTGAGGTGCCGGGTGCCGAGCCGGCCGAGGAATTCCTTCCTCCGGGAGCCGCTCCTGGAGGTGGAGTCGCTCTGCCCCCTGGTGCCGACCAGCCGGAGAAGCTGTCCAAGTCCGCTGCGCGCAACAAGAAGAAGCGTGAAGCCAGGAAGCAGAAAGATGGTGAGGACGAGCCGAGCCCAGACCGCCGCGGCGAGAAGGGTGACAACCGTTCCAAGGGCCAGAATGAGCGCAAGAACGGCGGCCAGGCCAATGGAGCTCAGGCACCCAAGGCCAATGCCAATGCCAACAACGCTGCTGCTGCCGCTGCTGCTGCCGCCGCCGCCGCAGCAGCCGACGCGAGCGGTGCTCACTCCGCGCAGGACAAGAAGATTCGCGGTCTTTTGAAGAAGATCCGCGCGATCGACGAGCTGAAAATGCGCCTTGCCGGTGGAGAGAAGCTCGAGGATACGCAGATGAAGAAGATCCAGACTGAAGAGTCGGTGCGCAAGGAGCTCGAAGGTCTGGGCTACAATGGATAGAGCAAAGGCACCCATATCCTATTGGGTCATGGATCTGGATTACTACTAAACAGCATTTCAATCAACACCCATTTGGAAATATGCGCACCGGTTTCTGCGCTGTTGGCGTTGCTCCCTTACACTATATCATGATTTTCACTTTTCTTTTCTCTTCTTGGCTGGCTGCCTGTATGAATTGTACATATTGTCCAGTGGCTCTGGCTGGTCTGTTTGCTGTGACGGAGTATTATCTTCTCTGATCTGATCTGGATGGATGTCGATGATATAGCTTTCTGGTGTGTTAGAATTGTGTTCAGCGAGGGGTGACATTAGCTATTTTACCCTGTATATCTGTATATACATACACCGAAACAGTCAAAAAGAAAAAAATAAAAGAGAAGAAGAAGAAGAAGAAGAAGAAGAAGCGAGAGACAGGACGATGGTTCTTAGACCTTACTTTCCGTGCATTACTCAGTAGATGATAGTAGTAATTCGGTAATGTTTCCATTCATCCAATCATCCGTCTGAGCATACGCTCTGGGTCGCATTCAATAAAATAGTAAACAGGTATTTGGTTCGAACCTGAATTAAATCCATAGTTATTCTTACAGGCTTTGCTCATTTGGCTGTCAGGTGGGTTGATCGGCGGACAAATGTATGTGTTTGGAATGCTCCCCAGTCACTACTCTACGGTTGTGTCCTTGACAGTAGTGTAAGAAAACTTATTGAAAGAGTGTGATACTACTACATTCAATATCTACAACTACAGACAGGCCTATGACCTACACTAAAACAAAACTAAAACAAAAACAAAAACTAAAATGTCCCCACCAACTCAACCCCCCTTACCCAACCCCCACCCCCAACACCAGCAGTCCCTAACCCAACCACTCGTATCTGATACTGATGTAGACAGCAGCTCCATCCAAACTCCATCCAGATGAAGAGATACAGAAGCACCTCTCCATCCCTGCGAGAACGCATAGACAGAGAAAAGCAGACGGATAGACCAGTATCGAGTCACGAGGGAGAGAAAAGGAAAGGAGCAGAGGACTCAGTCCGATGTTTTTGAGGATGGGGTGGTTGCTGGGTTTTATGATAACCCGGCTGTGGGGAGGGTTGATTGATTGCCCTTTAGAAGAATTCTAAAGAACGAAGAAATGTATGATGGGATGTGATGGTTGATGTCTCGCGACCGATACAGAGCTTATCCTTTCGAACCCGGCTCCCTTCTTTCTCGCACGATTAGAGATCGTGGGAGAGGAAGGGTGGGGAGGGAATGGATTTCAAGGCATGGACCTCGCCTTGCGCTCCACCTTGCAGTGCGAATTTTGGGGATTGGGGTCTACGGGGGATGAAGGGAGGAGGAGAGGAATAAGGTGTGATTGATGGATGGGTATCTCTGGTCTTGATTTCAGCTTCATTTGTTAGGAACATGTTGAGTATATGTGGGGAAGGGAAAGGTGGTTGGCTGTTCTGCCGTTGACACTGTGTCTGCTCAAGTGAAGACGCGTGTCCGCTTGACGGGGCTTCCTATACGGAGGGACCGATTTGTGCTCGCCATGCCACTTAGGAGTCGGTCCATTCCTTCCACGCCGAGCTGGCCCCTTTGGAGCATTTGCTGGTCTGTTTCCTTGGTGGGCGGCTCGGGGATGTATTCGGTAACGGGTGCTGGTGCTGGTTCAGTCAACCGTGGGGCGAGAATCACGAGTCGATGCTCGGCCGTGAGAAGCATGTCAAATGGCTGTGTGCGTGTGGAGCGGGGCGCCGCAGGGAGGTGTCCGATGCCTTTCAGGCGCTCTCCTACTAGGTTGATATCTTGGAGAGGAGACACCCGGCAGCGGTTGGATGAGTCGAATGTACCACTAGCCTTGACAGCGTTGCGCCACAAGGAGAGCAGACTGGGAATGACTGCGCTCTGGTTTCCATGCTGCAGCAAAATCGATTCATCGGGCAGCGCGTCCCTCCAAGAGTTAGTCTGATACACCGAGATTCCTCCACTCAGGGATGGGGTGGCTGTGCCAACGGAGGCGCCTTTGAGCAGCGTGTCTTCGCGCAGACGTTTAGTAGATGGCGTCAAGGGCGCAAACTTGGGCCGTTGTTCGAAGGAAGGTCCGCTTGTTTCAGACCGACTGGCGCCAGGCAGGGGACTTAGAATCCTACCGCTGACGGAGAACGTTGTCAATGAGCCTCCCGTCACTCCCTGTACACTCGACTGTCGCTGAAGCGGACCCTTGATGGTTCCGGGCCCAGCCCCTTCCAAATCCCAAACACCCCATTCGCCATCGGACGTGAGGACCAAGATGGCACGACCTCCAAGCACCCATTCCGCGTGAGTGATGATCTTCCGCCGAGGGAGCCCCGAAGCAGACTGCTCGAATCCGGGGTAAAGACTGATCAACCATCTTCCTTCCGTGTCGACTGTTTCAAACTCGCTCTGAGCCCCGGACGACCTCCGCGAGGCCTTGAGTGGTTTCGTGGAAAAGCAGGAGTATACCTTGACACATCCGCTGTGGAATGCGACGAGCAACGTGGAGTGTCGAAGGGCAGGGTAACCCGAGGGATTGAAAGAGATGTTCACAGCAGGGGCGGGCAAGTGTCGTCGCTTAGTCTCAATCTCATCATCGCATAGATGATATACTGTGCCGCGGGCCTTTTCATCCTCTGCGACCGGAATCCGATGAATGATCAAGAGACCTGACGACTCAGCCGAATGTGTCGCGACGAGGAGATCCCACCTTCCTGTAGCTGAGCGGGATGAGCCACGACTTGAAGATGTATCCTGATCTTGCTGATCTAACTCTTGGTAGGTGAAGGCGATGCTGACTCCCCGCGGAATCTCCTGGTGCGATACACCACCACTGATCGAGATCGACTGAATTCCGAAATCGCTCTGCGTGGGGTGAGGGGGAAGCAAAGGCAGAGTTACAATGCGAGTAGAATAGTCCGCGCATACAGCGGCAACTATGATGTCCTTCTTCAGGACCGGGGGAAATGGATCGAGCGAAGAGCGCGCTGTTTCAGGGAGGACACGAGGCACAGCCAGCTCGAGGACTCTGCTTCCAAGGGGTATATCAATCTGGCGCAAAACATCGTCGTAAGGGTGGAAGGGGTCCACCTCGGTTTCGTCCTCCTCGAACTGATAGGTGGGCTCTTCATCTTGCTGAGTGTGCTGGGTCTCTGCCATGCTCTCGTCATCGGAATCGATGATCATGACCGCATCATCATTGGCGTTGCTTGCTTTCTGTGGTTTGTCCACTTTCGGCGCAGAAGGCTTCTCGGCGGAAAACTGTCTTCCTCCTCTCCAGACTACCTTCAGTCCAGTCTCATAACCGTAAACAACGATCGACGAGCCATTGGGGGCAAGGAGGGGGTAGCCTTGAGCTGCGTGCACACGATGAGGAAGTTGGTAGCTAGATGGAGTGTCCGGTAAGCACGGGGTTGCTGTTATGGCCGAGAACGGAATGTGAATCTACCTTAATTGAAGGCCATCGTCCCTAGGCCTTACCAGAGGTCGAGATGGGAAGGACGGCATTGTTGTGGTGGCGGTTGTTTGTACGGTCAAGAACAGAGCTCAAAGGGAGACCGACGCCGCCAACAGGCAGATCGTATTACCAAGCTTAGCGATGGAGATGTGATTATGATCTGTAGCTGAAGTAACTAAGAGTAATCATGTATAATAGAAGAGCGAGCGTTGAGAAGGGCAGTTAGTGGGTGGGTGGTGAGGAAGAAGGTGAAAGAGAAGGAAGTTGGGAAGGCCGCGGAGGAAAAAAGCCGCTGAGTTGAGGATGGAAAGTTGGCCCGCCGCGTCCATCGCGTCTCCAAGCAACAGCCTGCCTTTGCTTCCCCTCACGCCGCAACCACCTCGACAACGCCCCCAACAACGCCCATTGTCGTTGATCCGTCAAGCGCGCTGGCCTGCCTGGTTGATGGTCTAACCTGACAATGGGCATGATATCGCCTCTGGCTCCCACTGCCAGAATTTCTACCGCTACGCCCGACGATATACACCGATAATGGCTACAGTTCGATCCCTCGGATTGCATGAGCCCTCGGCCCTCGCATTCCTCGTCGCAGAAGGCCTCTTGCCTCCAGATCCCTCGGAGGAGCTCTACTCATGGACAACGAGCGTTGATCGAGACTCCAACGGCCCGGTCGAAGATGAGATTGTTTGGACAAGAAGCTGTGCGGTTTGGTCACGAGCGGGGGTTGTCAAGAGAGTGTTCCGGCTTGATTTAGAAAAGGAGGAGATCAGGCATGCTTTGTTGACGAGGTTTGCGGTGGGAAAGATAAAGAGGTCCGAGTCAAGCGTCTCGGAATCCTTGAAAGGCGAGGCAGCGCAGCCAGGCAGTACCTCAGGCCGCAGTCGAAGCTCGCCTGATCATCTTAGTGCTGGGATATCGAAGGGCTCATTGTTGATGCTGGGTCAGAATGGCGAAGGTTCTCGCGATACCAGCGGCACAGACGCGAACAATGCGCGAGCCTTGGTCGTCGTCCTCAAGTCCCAGGCTCACATCTTCTTTCTTGCCGGGAACAGCCATGTCGTGCCCCTACCGTTCGAAGTTGATTCGGTGTTTGCGACCCCCAAGGGCCTTTTGATTCAGAGAAAACTACACGAGGGGAAATCCAATACCTCACTACCAGCAGCGCCGCCGAATTCGTTCGTCTCATCCCTACCTGACTTCCGTGCATCGCAGTCGCTGGACATACCTTCTGGCAAATCCAAACGCCCATCCTTGACGATTTCCCCTGCCCCCAAACCTGGCCTGAAGCAACGGGCAAGCAAACATGCCGACATGCCCAGAGTGTTCTCTCTTATGGATCCGCACTCAGAAATGGGACTCGTCGTGACCAACCAGTCGTCTCGTTGGCTACAAACTAGTGTCTCAACCAGACCTTCTGGATTGGATGTTCTTGACCCAGCGGATGCAATTGTCTATGTATCTCCAAGAGATGAATTGTCGAGCTCTCATCGGGGGCTTTCCATTGGCCCTTTGATCCTTGTGGTAACCGTCAATATTAACACAGGGCTGTACACGATCTGGACGGCTCACTATAGACAAGACGAGACTGCGCCCTCATCGAAGAAGAAGGAGAGGAGAGACACGGGTGGCACTCGTTCGAAGCGACGCAGTTCGCACTTTGGAATGACTACGGGAACAACCACACCCGCTGGTCGTCCATCGGGTGCTAGAGAAAGCTTTGGCCCAAGAAGTGATGGGTGGAACACGTCTGGGTTGTCGCTTTCACAATACTCCGTCGAAGGCAAGCCGGATGATGACGACCTGGCGTCCAAGCTGGGTCAAGACTTTGGGGACATTGGTGTGCCACTCAAGACATCAAGACGAGTGAGCTCTCTCCTTGCACGCGCGGATCTGGCCGCCAGCCAGGATAGGATTACGTTTTCCGATTTAGCCACAGGCAGTCAATCGAGCTCTATGCCACATGGCAATTTTCGACAATCTCTTGGAGCTGGAAGTACTCGAGGTAGCTTTGGCTTCAACCCTAGGGGTTCTATTCCACCTGGCAATGGCTCAGTGTATAGCACTACCGGTAGCTTTGTCGACGCACCGGTCGATAGACTGCTTGAAGAGCTGAACAATGAAAGTCTTTTCGAAGGATTTGAGAATATGGACTTGAACCATGCGGCGTCAGGTCTGCCCGAAGAGGTCTTCCTGTCCAAAGTTGAAAGCTTTTCTTCAAAGTTTTCGGTCTCCTTCCAGACACCGGTCAAGTCAAAGCCGTCAGCTCGACAAATCAAGATCATGACTTTGTGTCCGTCAGAGTACGGTAATGCGCAATCTGGAAACACTGCGGCTTTAGCGCTTTACTTGGTGGATCAAGAAGCAAAGTCAATGACGGTCGTCAGCCTACGAGCAGACAAAGTTGCGGTATCCAAGAAGGACGTGGTATTCTCGAAGAAGCCAAAGAAAACCCCACTATCTGAAGAACGATCGTTGATCGTCCAAGCCTCCGGAATACAGCACTTCGCAGATGTATGGGATGCCTGCAAGATTGTCGATGGTGGAATCTCACGGATCTTGACCCTGAAGAAGACAGACGGTGGCGAGCAGGTATTGCAGTTGCAAACTCCGTGGAGCAAAGCAACTCCGATTCAGGTGCCCCGGAAACTCATGCTTCACGAAGCATACGGCATAAATCCCAAAACGTCTGGCAACCGTCGAAGAGAAAGTGGTGTGAAACGGCTAATGACTGACTCGCCGATCACCGTGACAGGCTTCGATCATGCTGCAGCCAGAGGAAAGTTCGATGTAATTGACTCCGAAAATCGGAAAGTGAAGCTGCAGGTCCAGATGGAACCTAGCAATGAGCTGGTGAAACGTGTGCTCAATGTCTGTCGGTTTGCCTTATCGGACGAAAAGGCTGGAGACGGGCTTTTGGCTGCCTGGTGGGAGACTATGGCATGG